CCATCAAAGTCTGAGGAGTCACGCCAAGGTTGCATGCTTTCAGGTAACGTCACGGCGAAATGGTGTAAAGCTACCCTGAAATGTATGTTTGTACTGCCCCCTAGTTCCAAGAAACTACACACTGCCACTTTAAGATGCTGAGAAATGTAAGATAATATACTATTTATAACACTTATCCGTTTTTTTATTTTTATATCATTAGAGACTGAAGAGCAGTGGTCCAAGAATTGAGCCTTGTGGGACTCCACATGTCATGGTGATCTGCTTTGATTTGTGATCACTAATAGAGACAACTGTCATTGATATGATTGGAACCAACTATATACCGTGCCTGATCGTCCCACCCAGTTTAAGAGCCTATTTCTTGGAGGTTTGCTATTTTAAAAATGATGTAACGTTAATGTTAATTCATTAGAAGCACTTTCTTAGGTCTCATGTTGGATGCAAATTTAGCTTAAATGTAAACTTGTCATGGTCTGCATCTGTGTCTCCCTCATGTGTCTCCTTGTTTGCTCCATCCCCCTCTAAGGATCCCCTTATGTGCTTCTTATGTGTTCCTCATGTGTCCCCTGGTCTGCAGCCCCTCCAGGTTATCCCTCCCAGGTCCTGTGCTCCCATTGGTCTGCCCTACTCACCCCTCTGCAGTTTTTCTATAAGGTTCAGCGTTTCATTTTATTAGTCTCTTTTAGTGTGTTTCTTTCTCCACCGGTTTTTGTAGTTCTCCTTCTTCCTTAGAACATTATTATTTAGCTTGCTCTTGTCTTTAGATTTTGTTTTTGCTCTTAGGTCTTTTTAGTTTCCCCTCCTCTGCTCACTTTCCTCTCCCTGATCAGTTAATTGTTTTCACTCGGTTTTCTCTCCCCACGCACCTGCAGCTTATCTCCCACTCACCCTGCCCCTGTGTATTTAACCCTGTCTGCATCTCAGTGTGTTGTTTGGTCGTTGTTTGTGTCACCCTTGTCTCGTTCCCCTCTCTAGATTTTGTATCTCTTGGTTTCTTGTGTTTTTTGGATATCTCTAGGTTTTGTTATTAGGACTTTTTGATTTTGGTTTTTGGCTCCCTGCCTTTTTTGGATTTATTCTTTAATAAAGGATTTTTACGTTATTTCTGCCAACCCTGTGTCATCTGGAATCTCTGCATCTTTGGGTCCTAACCTCCTCTTGGCTCACAACGTGACAAAACTATGATAATTACAAGAAGATGTAAGAACATCTAGATTTGCTTTCACATTTCCTTCTCAAACTTTATAGCATTAATTCCCTGCACACAATTTTTTCTAGAAACGCTTTATGGTCATGCTCTGCATTCCATTACTAATGTCTTAAATGTGTAATTTTAGTTTAAACCTGATTGAATGCAGGAATCTGAGTTAAAAAAATGTATTTATCCAATCTGACAGCTCGCATAGTGACAAAGACATGATGTAATATTTGATTGTTAAATAAAAAGGACTCAGCAGTCGTTTGTGGAGGATTGTGTGTTCCTCGGCTGAACTTCCAACAAACGTGCAGCTGGGAACCAGGAAGTGGGTCATTACAAAGTTAATTATTATAACAGTTTGGTTACGGAAGAGTCATGAACTGGTCAGAAATGCTTTATTGAAGCACCCATCACCCATGTTGGAGAAAAATCATTCTTTATCACAGGAAGTGAAGCGTTTTGCTTCTGAACACAGAAGAAAAGATGATTGAGATCAAGCAGAATAAAACCCAGAAGAGAGAAAACCAACGCAATCCATCAAAAATAGAGCAGATGACGACTTTAAGTACAGAAGAGCCGACTCGGCTGAAGGACCATATTAACTAAGAGGGGCACATCTCTGCTTCATCAACGCCCTCTCACTTCTGTTTGCTGATGGGATTTTCACGGTTCATTTATGGGACTGCGAGATGGAGGGATAGAAGGAACGACCGACGGAGGAAAAGATGGGTAAGTGAAAAGTGGGGGGAGGATGTGAATAAGAAATGCAAAGAAGGTGGAGAGACGAACCACAAAAACGAAGAGGCAGAGATGTGTTGGGAGTAAATGATGGATGGAGCAACTGCAAGCTTCCAATCTTCCCCAACAAAACAAAAGACGGAGAGATTATTCCAAATGACCCACTTAGCAGGCAAAACGGGTGTTTAATTTACTCAAATAATCTCTGAGTGTGAAGATGAATTACTCTGCCTTCTTCAGTCATTTTCTATTTAAATGAGCTCGAGTGCCTTCCCTGGGGCTTTTCCCCTAAATTAACATGATAATTAAAACTTTTAAATAACATTCAGGGGCTCCTTATGGCACAAACATCAAATAACACAAATATTATTCCCTAATTTTTACTTTGCAACATGGAAATTTGATGTAGGCGCTAACCTCGATAATCAATAAGACACAATCTAGTAGTTTTTAACCACAAATAAAAGAAAATCTGTTATTTTTACTATAAAATCCCACATGACCTGTAATGCATCCAACTATGTTCCAGATCCCAACACATCTGTCCTCAAAAATAATAAAAGGAAAATGAAAATCAGCTGTAACCTGGAGGACTGACCTCCAGCTGACCTTTGCCCTGAAGCAGGATCATCATTAAAAGTAATGAAAGAGTTGTTTAAAAATGGATTAGACGATAAATCACTTTAATCATCCTATAATGAAATGGGATTAGGGATTTATTTGTTTATTTATTTGGGCTGGCGGGGTGACGGAGGGGCGTGCTTGGATGGAAAAGCCGTGATTCAGCAGGTTTTGGTCCCTGATGACTGTACCAAGCTACAGGAAACCACATGACCAACACACAGCGATGTGTCCAGGAAGTGGCCTGTGGTAGCACATACCACCCTTGGAATCTAATTGCCCACCCCAGGTTCCACCCAACTGAGTTCCATTTGCATTGACTTTACATTGTCCACAAAAGGTTTGGACTCATAAACTCAAGGATGCACCTTTATAGAGACAATGTGTCTCTGGGATCATCCATCAAAACGTTGAATTATGTCCAGTTGTTGAAAAATGCTGGTGGCTTTGTAAAATATAACAATAAACATTGGGTCTAAAGTGCATAGTACATAGGGTTTCGCATCTTTGGTGGATGCCGTATTAGATGTCATGTTTCCTTCTGACTGACTCTGGGTTCTGCACCTGTCAATGACTAGATGATTGGCTGGATATACGACCTACAGAAGTTACGTTGCCACATTCATTTCGGAAGTAAGAAACACGAATTTAATAACAAAACTACAAAACTTTTCCCAAAACCTCTGTGAAAGAACAGAATCGAAAAAGAGATGCAGTACATTTTGGCCGAGGGGTATTGACGTAGTATGATGACGTCATTGGCAGGTGCAGGACCGCGAGCAGATCCAGAAACAGCGCCTGAAAACTACAATCAGCATTGCATTCTCTTGACGGAATTAACTGAAGGAACATCGAAGTCTGAGGAGTCACGCCAAGGTTGCAGTGCTTTCTGCTCCACAGACAACAACTTTACCGTAATGTCATCCACTGTGATATGGTGTAAAACTACCCTGAAATGTGTCTACTGCCCCCTAGTGGCAGAAAACTACACACTGCCCCTTTACCAATGGTTTCTAGAACTGGCCTGCAGAACAGTTCTTTATTATTGTTATTATTGTTCTGCTTTTTTGTTTTTACGTAAATTCAATTCAAAAATACTTTATCAATCCCAGAGGGAAATTGATTGCTGTAGTAGCTCAGAATAATAATAATAATAATCAAGTCATCAAAGAGTTATTGTATATTACAATGGCTGTTGGCAGGAAGGACCTCCAGTAGCGGTCAGTGTTGCAGCGAAACTGAAGAAGCCTCTGACTGAAGACACTCTTCCGTTGTCGGACAGTCTTGTGAAGAGAATGCTCAGGGTTGTCCATCATTTTCTTGATTCTCTGGAGAATCCTTCTTAGCATTATCTCCTCCAGCGGTTCCGAAACTGCCGAAACTCTGGCTGAGTCCTTGAAAGGGCTTGGAGTTCCTCCATCTTGTTGGCCAGTGATCTCACATTGCCCATTATGATTGATAGAAGAGATGGTTTGAATTTCCTCTTTGTCTCCGTTTTGCTCCCGCTCTGCACCCACGCTTCTTGCGTTTTAGCTCATTTGGGATTTGTGGCTTCAGTTGAGGTATTATTTCAGCCTTTCCAATGTTAATCAGCTGCTCCCGATTGTAGCTTGTTGCCATGGTTACGCATGATAACAAATGCTCAGAAAGTGAAAAAAGCTAAAAAAAATAGCAGTAAAAATCCTCCAAGCTTCACAGCACCAGAAACAGAACAGTAAAGTGTCCAAAAAATACTGTTTTTCTTGAGAAACTAGACAAAAAAAATGTCCAAGAAAAGGCAAAACTTACATATAGTCAACAGAGCTACTCCAACATGCAGCCACCCAGAGCAGCGCAGTTCCGGAAAACAGTAAAATAATCAACACAAAACAGCTAGCTGCAGAAGAAGGAGGATATGATGAAGAAATTAGTAGAATGCAAAATGAAAAAAAAATCAAATGATTTTGTGACTTTCCCCCAAATAAATAAAAGTATGACCATTTCTGCCACATAAACAAGGACCCCACTTGGGACACCCCAATTTATAAGTCCTGGACAAGCCACTACTAACACAGACCAAAGAGTCAAAGAGCAACCACATTTGCTGACCTGTGTGTTTCCTACCATCAAAATTTGTTCTTCAGAAGTAAATAACGGATTGTGACGAAGAGCTTTGAAAGTGTTCATGGGAGTTGATGATCCAAGACAGCACAAAGATGGTCCTAATCCAGTTAGTAAAATCTGATTTTAGTCATTTTATTTTAATCCTAAACCTGCTGACCTCTCCCTCCAACACTCACGTGACACAATGGCTCATCCTCAATTTACACAATAATTCCCAGTTTTCCCCACAACCAACCATAACCAGTGCAGGCAAGTGTGTGTGTGTGTGTGTGTGTGTGTGTGTGTGTGTGTGTGTGTGTGTGTGTGTGTGTGTGTGTGTGTGTGTGTGTCCACTCACCTTGTGCTGCTTCCACATCACAGCCAGTGGTTTGACGTCATGCTTGGAGTGTTTCCCCTCCTCCTGACACTTCCCGCACACCGGAACCCTGCAGCTGCAGCAGTACATGCTGAAGTTTTCCGCTTCGTGATCCAAGCAGGTCGCCGGTTTTCTCGCGGTAAGCGGCGGATGCTGACCCCCGCTGCCCACTCCAGCGCCCCCAGCCGCCGCTCCCGCTTGAGCCGCCGGGCTCGGCGGCGGAACCAGGCGGTGCTTGGCAAGCGGACCGCGGGACGGGTGGCACCGCTGCTGGCAAGCGTTACAATAGTAGACGTCGCACTGCTCGCACATGACCGTGGCCATCACCGGGTTCCGGTCGCACAGCTGACACTTGACGGCGGAGGAGGAGGATGAGGATGAGGAAGAGGAAGAGGAGGGAGCGCGGTTCTGCTGGTACCGCGCCACAATGGCCTCCAGCAACCGGTTCCGAGGAAAACCCCTGAGCCCCCGTTCGTCCAGGGAGACGCTCCGGTGGCACAGCGGGCAGGTGAGGGAGCAGTTCCGGTGAGGGATGACCGGAGGAAACACCCGGACCCCGTTTGGAGACTTGAGCTGGCACGGAGTGTAGGATCCGTAACCGCTGTCCGTCTCGCTGTACAGACTCATCTTGTCCATGTCCAGGTAGTCGTAGTCAGAGCTGCCCGAGGCGCGGCTCTGCACCGGGGTCTCTCCGTCCGGGGTCTGCACGGTGATGTTCCGGGCGCAAGCCAGGCACACATTGTGGGAGCAGGGCAACAGGACCGGGTCCTTGAAGAAAGAACCGCAAACGGGACATTTCAGCTCTTCCTCCATCACTCCCGCACTCTGCGTCCTTCTGCGCCGGAGGGAGAAGCTGCTTCGGCGAAAACGGTTCAGCACCGACTGACACGGACAGCTCCCTGCACGGAACTGCGCATGCGCAACCCGGGGAGGGAGGGTTTGTGGATATGACTGACCATTTTTGATTTCCGCTTTATTTATTTATTTATTTATTTATTTATTTATTTATTCAGAAATCTGACAGCGAAAACACATTCGCAGTTTTGATGTCAGCGATCCGGATTTGAGAAGCGAGGCACAGTCCCCTACGTTATAAAAAACGTGTCTTGCGGAATTACGTAGACGTCATACCAATATTTTTGATTGGATAGTCTGGCATGTTGCTTGTGCCCTGATTTTACCTAGTACCTGAATCTACCTAATCCGACACGAAGTGGGATTAAAGGGGTTCTTGTGTAATATTGGAATGTGTTTACTTTAATATCAAAATTACACAAAAACAGAATAATATAAGGGAAAAAAACATGTTTACAGACCGATTTGTTGTTTTGGCTTCACAGCGACATCTAGTGGGGAAACAGTCTCATTAGGAATGAATGGAGAAAACCTGGAGATGTGTCAAAGTTTAGTCTTAAGAAGCAAATTTATCTGAGAAGAGCTCACTTTATTTTTAGAATAAATTTAAATATTCCCCCAGTTTTAAATAATTAGCTATAGTAGAAAAAAGGTTGTAAAATGACACAAATTGTTATTTCGTGCAATATTTTTTATTTGCCCACAAAACTTCTGTCATTAAGGGTTTAAAGCAAAAAAAAAATACTAAATACAAGAAAGATTTACTGCAAAATTAACTTTAACGTCAAGATTTTTCCAAACCTGTTTTGGTTTTTGGAGCTGAAAAAGTGAATTAATAGAATCAAGGGCTTTGATGTCCTGCCAGGAATAAGATTATTTTTCATGATATGATCTCCTAAGATAAACAGTCTAAGCTTTAAGAAAGAGCAGGAACCCAGGACTGAAACAATTTGGTCAAGCTCAGCTCATAACAGTGAAAGGGCTGAAGTCCAGCCTCAGACTCCCATCAGGAGCAGATCAAAGGATGATATCACAATGAATTCCTGTTCTCATCTATTTACCCTTAATGAATAATCTGGTGGTTAATTTAGGAAAGAAACTAATGTAAACATGACTCTGAGTGGACTTTTTAAAAACAATCTGAGTGGGCTTTTAAAAACTGAAGTTTCCTGACAAGTACCAAACTCTAAACTAACGCCCCATCCATCTGAAACAATATTTTCACTCCTTCATAGTCAGTTTATCCTGAAATCTCCTCATTTCAGAGAACAGAGAGGCCTAGGTGACATCATTATGTCAGCAGTGATGACAACCATGAGAAGGATGGGACTGATCAAACTCTGCAGCTGCGTTAGTTACGGGCGGAGGTGGAGGCATTTTCTGCACCAAACCACCCTCAGATGGATCCTGGCAGCGACTCTGGACAAACGAGGAAACGAGTGAAGGCCCTTCGATCGGCTGACCTTTGTGTTTGCTCTCATTGGCCTCTCGTGTTAACCCGACAGCGTAGACGGCAGCAGAGAGCGGGGTCCCTCAGGGGAGCGGCTTTAATCTCACTCACTGGAACAGATTTTCCATTTATCAGTACTGTTAGCATCTCATTGCTTGCCTTTCAGACCCGTTTCCCTGTGAAATGAGTGATGGTGGGCGTCTGTGTACCTCACTGCATGATTATGTACATGTCTCATTACATTCAACCCTTCAAAGCCAGGAATATGAAATTATAGTTTAAATATCTAGTATTTAAAACAGGAATTTTTAGTGTTCATTGTTTATTATTTATATAAAAACCTGTTTTAATGTATTATGTAGTTCTATTATACAAATCATTATGATTTGATGACTTTATGCTTTGTTTAGTTTTGTTTATGTGAAGCACTTCGTGATTTTCTGTCTGTGATGAGTGCTATACAAATAACATTTATTTATTTACAATTAAAAAAAGATATTAAATAGTTCCTTGCCATGTGTAGACCCTCCACCAGGGGGCAGTAGACACTTAAAATAAAGCAAATAGCAGGTTTATGATGAAGGTACTAATCCTGATGCTTTATATGGACGCTTTAAGGCCAGAAGTGGTTTGATGGAAATGTATGACGATATTTTAGTAATTACTATGTTGCTACCCTTTTCTCTGTAATGTTACAGCATTTACTGGCACCTCTGCTACCATAGAGCTATTGATGCTGGCATCAATGCTTTAGCTCCAAGCCTGTCAGTTCCTCTTTGCGCAGACCAACTGGGATCAGACATGCAACTCTGAAGTTGCAAGAGCGGTAATCAGGCCATAGGGGCCACATTTTGTCTGAGAGACGTTTCATTCACCCTGCAAAGGGTCATTTTAGCGCTAACTTACATAACCAAGATCTACCCAGTATACTTAACGATAACCATAACGTGAGAAAGTGATGGTTTTACTGGGAAAATGGACTTTGATCAACTGTGAACATCAGATATAGAGATCTGCAGCTCTAAACCAGTCGCACCCTCTCGCATCTAATCAAAAAGATCATTCTGACACAATAGGTCTTAATGACATCAAGACTCCTCTGGGAATAGGGAGAAGGGGTATTCGTGTGTTGTTTCAGCTCGTTAAGAAACAACAGACAGCAGTTTATAAGCATGACCCTCCTGTATTATAGTCAGAACCTCAGAACTGACAAAAAAATCCTCGAATGAGAAGCGAAACGTCTTCAAGAAACCAAAAAAGTCCAGCTGCCTTTTGAACCTTTGGGATTACCATGGCCTGGATGACTGAGAACCCTCACCAGCATATGGAGAAGTGTTTCCTCAAGTGCTCAAACTTCTGCATACATAAGTCTTAGTAATAAAAAAACTGATGTTTATGACATGAATTTTACTTCATATTCTTTCAGAATTTGAATTCCTCCCAGAAAATCTCACCACCCTGATGCTCGTTCTCTGGGAATAAACCAGTGACGTCACCCGAGGCGTTCCTCGAGCACTTCATCATATCAGGGATTTTAATGAGATGAGCTGCAAAGCAGAGAGAAAATGCCTGAAAGCACCACACTGAGCCTGTGACTCTGAAGGGGAATTATTTCTGATAAAATAATACAGCTGTAACTCGAGAGGCAGGGAGGGTTGTCCAGCAATCGGAAGGTTGAAGGTTCAATCCTGGCTCTAACAGAGAATGCTGCTGTTGTGTCCTTGGACAAGACACTTAACCCACCTCGCCTACTGGTGGTGCCGGTGCCCAGCAGCCTCACCTCTGTCAGCGTGCCCCAGGACAGTTGTGGCTACATCATAGCTCATCCCCACCAGCGTGTGAACGTTTGTGAAGGGGTGATGACTGATTGAGTTGTGAAGCGCCTTGGGTGGTTGTAGAACCCTAGGAAGGCCATTTCAGTACAAGTTAGACCCGTCTCACAGCAGGATCCTTCTCTGTGGGCACAGGTTTTTCCTTCTTTAATCTTTAAATGTAGCTTTTCAACCCTTTAAATTGTTTTGAATCTCATATTTTAAATTAATTTAAATGTTTTAAACTAAAATTGAAAAATATCTATTGAACTAATATATATATATATATATATATATATATATATATATATATAGATAGATAGATAGATAGATAGATAGATAGATAGATAGATAGATAGATAGATAGATAGATAGATAGATAGATAGACAGATAGATAGATAGATAGATAGATAGATAGATAGATAGATAGATAGATAGATAGATAGATAGATAGATAGATAGATAGATAGATAGATAGATAGATAGATAGATAGATAGATGATAGATGTTAGAAAAGTAAGTTAACGAATATGACATTTTAGTGCTTATAGCTTAAAATAATATTGTTTCTTTATTATTAATAATATTCTACATCATTTTAAACCCCCTGTTGCTCCAAGTTAATAAATAATGCTGTTTTTTTAGCAGACTAACCACAAAATTGAAAGTAAAGCTGTGCATTTTTAGCAACGAAAGCCTAATTTCTATTTTTCTGCCACAAGAGGGCGACAAATCTCACTGCTAGGATTCGTAATCAGGCACTGAAATACAATTAAAAGCCTTTTTTTTTACCCTGGTTTCATTTGAGCAATTATGATCCCATAACACTTCACTTATACTTTACCTATCAGTTATGAGTGATTTTTATTTTACTTTTATAATAATCAGTCATAAACAGTGAGCCATTCACACAAAGGCATAAATTAATGCGTTAAGCTTAAAAAAAATCTAAATCTGACTTTTAGTAGGTGAGCAAAAAGGAATGAAAGAGCTGTAAATAAGGATGCCGTTTCAAACCACTAAACCTTTGATCTATTTTACCAGAAACGTTTACTTTGTAGTTTCTGAAAGAAAAAAAACATGAAAAAGAAACTTCTGTGAAGTTTAAACTTTAGTTTTTATTGCAAATTACATTTTCTGTTCTTCTTATTGTTAAAATTAAACAGCAACCTTCATGTTTTATTGGATTTGAATGGATTTGCATGCATAAGCTGCAGGTGTGAATAAATGGGACCCATTTCAACCCCCCCCGAAAAAAACTTTGCAGTTCCCATTTATACTAAAAACAAAAAAGACTAACAGTATGTTTAACAAGGTTACTGGTTGCAGACAAAAACCACAATTTAACAGAATATCTGAGTGCTAATTTTAGTCATCCCCACGTCACATGCTCGTGTGTTTAAGCTTTACGTGACAATAAAAATACAATCATTTTGACGCGTTTAAACGTTCCTAAAACCAGATGTTTTGCTAACATAAGGAATCCCTTGTAAGATAAAATATTCACGTAAACGAGGTCAAACACCAGCAGAAGTCGGTTTATTCTTTCATTGGACTGAAGCGTTTTGTATGATGGATTATTAACCCGAAGAACTGAGAACTAAACAAGCTGCAGCAGGAAAATTTAACTTTAAATAAAACGTCCGACTCTGTCATCACTGACTCTTTCATTTTACCATCATTTCCTTCCTGCAGCATCTAAACACCCAGTAGTTAGTGTTGTGGATCGGGTCTGAGGGGGGAGGTGAAATGACAGGGAGGGAAGGGGGGAGTGGCCACCGGCCGCCGTTTCAGTCTCACGCGGTTTGTTAAACGAGCCGTCGAAGCTCCTGTCGGCCTCAGACTAAGGATGTGGTGCTCTCTGGGTTGATCCGCACCGGCCTCGTGCTCTTCCTCAGGTCCCGCAGCTGTTTGGCCGGTTTCCCCACACCCTCCTCAAACCGCCGCTCCACCACCGGCAGCACGGTGTCGTGGAGGAAGGTGGCGTTCTGCAGGACGAAAGCCTTCTTCTCGGGGTCCTGCTCACAGCGCAGGCTGTAGTCGACGTGCTGCACGGCCACCAGGATGATCTCCCTCAGGCTCTCCAGCAGCACCATGTGCAGCTCGGGGAAGTAGAGCTTCAGACCCTCTTCCAGGAAGCTCATCATCTGCTTGGTGAAGGCCACGATGGTGTAGCTCAAGTTCACCCAGCAGTCATCGCCCGTGTACTGCTGGAAACTAATCCCACAGCTACGCATCTCATCCTGCAAGACGAAGAGAAAAGCCTTAGATGCTGCTCAACACCCGCATTTTCTTTAGTTTTCTTCTTCAAACAAAAGAAACAAACACAAAATTGGGAATTAAGGAAGGCTGTTCGACCTTGAGCTTAGTTAAAGCCTCAGGGGTCATCAAGTTCATCCTCCTCCACATCTCCTCAGAGTTCCGGTGTTTTGTGGCCTCAATGATGATGTTCTTGTAGCTCAGCAGGGCTGCCTTGACGTCTTTGACCAGCAGCGACTGCAGCGTGAACGTCTGATCCAGGCCGATCTCCGTCAGCTGCTGACAGTGCTCCTTGGCCACTTTAACGCACTCTGCTGCTGTCGACAGGCTCTCCTTGCTGTCAAACACCTGGAAAACAGAAAATTGGCCGTTTTGAATCATTTTCTGAAATAATTGGAACAATAATTGATCTTGATTTTTTTTTTATCAAGAATAATGATCGAAACATATTTCTTGACTCATGTTAGGGACATCGCTGAGCCTCTGCTGACCTGTTTGCTAAACGCGTCCACAAACATCGTCATGGCCGATCTGGACCAGACCACAAAGGCAGAGTAGCAGCCCGTGTTCCCCGCAAAGTCCGTCTCAAACTCCTTGGCAGTTTCCAGCAGGCTGGTGAAGAAAATGTTGCAGAGTTTGTGGATGTAGAGCAGCGTGGCTCCTTCGATGCGGAGCTGCCGGATGGCCGTCTGGACAGCCGCGGCGCGGTTCTTCAGGAACAGCTCGCAAGCCTTGGTGGACTGACCTGAAACACAGAAATGACATCATCAACTGTTGGAAATATAACTTTAAATTGTTACAGGCATGGATTCTCCAAGGACTACTCTGGCTTTGTGTTGAAATGTTTACTGGTTTTGGGAAATCAACATTTTAATGGTCTGTGAGATCTTATTAATACAAATAAAGACCTAATCTGATGAGCTGGGACACGGCCCGCCGGGTCGCTTTAGGTCCACCACGAAGCGACCGATCAGGAGACAGCTCAAACACCAAGACCTCAGTCAGCTGCCGCACACGCTCATCCACCTTCGCCTTCAGCTCTTTCACCGTCTGGGTCGCAGGCTGGTCTTTGAGATACTCGTTCAGCTTGTCCAGCAGGTCCACTGCACCCTCAAAGTCTCTCTGAGCGATGCACACATCCAGGTCCTCGGGCAGCTCCTGGATCCACTCGAGACTGAGGTCCACACTCTCCTCGGCATCTGCCGGCTCGTCGTCATCCACATCAAAAGGGTTGTTGGACACTTCGGCTCGCACGGGAGAGGTGGGGACCTCCTCCTCTTTCTTGTGTTTGTCCTGGGAGGCTTTCTTTTTCTTGGTTTCATCCAGGATCTCCAGCCACTCCTTCTTGACTTTGCTGTTTTCCACCTGGAAGATGCGGCTGTCTGGGAACATGAGAATCTTGAACATGTCCTTCATGGGAGGGTTGTCCTTTACGTTGACCACAGCAAAGCTCTCCAGATCATACAGGGCATTGTATTTATACTTCACTGTGCCTCTGCGGTTAGGCAGCCAGGTGGCAATCAACAGGCAGTCATTCATCAGGAAAGCATGAGCCTTCTGGATGGGGGACATGTTGTCCACATCAAACTCCACGAGGTCTCCATTGTAGACCAGGTGTCTCCCTGGGGTGTCCATGATGTTTTTAGCTCCTTCCACCTTCTCCAGCAGTGAGGTGAGAGTCCTCTGCTTCAGGTCCTCTGTCTCTTTGGGGAACGCTGCCTGCATCTCTTTGGAGGTCTCATCCTTGTCTGTGGACAGTAAGGCCTGAGTGATGCTCTCCATGATGCTCTTCTGCTCGGTGAGGATGTGGCTCAGCTGGTACATCTCGCTCTCCAGGAAGGAGATCTCCTTGGCCGTTTCGATGAACTGTCTGTAGTTCTTGTACACGTTCTTCTTGAGGTTTTGGGCCGTTTCATCAGCCAGAGTTTGAATTTTCTGACGATGCTCCTGGAGGTCTCTGTCGCCATCCGACTGCTGTGACAGCTGCTTGACGTAGTTCTGTGGATCGAAGTTGGGCGATTCCAGCAGCTTCCGAAGTCGGTTCCCGGTTTCCGACATCTTTGGTTGTCTGCGTGTTTCCTTATTAAGCAAAACTGTTAACAAACTGACGAGAAACGCAAACAGAGAACGAGCGCCTTCATATCCACGTCAACAAACACAGGAAGCTGAAAACAGGTCAACACCCGGGTTGTCAACGTCACATGAACGTCACGAGAAGGGAGAACAAAAAGGATGATCAACAAAAACTCAGAAAAAAATTGTTATTGATCTTTCAGGTAAACCACACAATGTTTTTATTTTATTTTAAAGCTTCTGTATATTTATTTACTGATTTTGCTTTTTGTTTGTTGTTATTTTGCAGTTGTTACTGATTACTGGGCTATTGAACAACACCCGGAATAGGTGTTTTGTTGTCCAACTATTTACCTACCGGAAGTTTACGGTAGCTGCAGAAACATTACAGATTTTCAACAGCGTTTAAACAAGCTAATTTTAGTTTAGTCATCTGCTGATTAAATCAAGATATAAAACTAATCGGGGAAAGCCAAATCAAACACGAAATTAATTTTGAAATAGTTTTTTTATTTAGAAGTTCATACGGAAAGAGACTCGTTGTAATGTAGTACATGTAGCAAACCTGCTGTTTGGCGCGAGCTGTGGACAGACCGACTATTATTACAGATACATTTGGCTGACAAGAAGATGAGATTCATCTTTCAAAGTCATGACTTCAGTCCTTTTACCGATGTTTCTCTGAAAGGTTGATTTTATAATTAGGCTGCAGACGTCGTTTGTTCCAGAACGTCGTGCTATTTACATTAGCAAGTCAGCTAACAAGCTAGCACAGCTGCCTTCTGATGTCATGGATGCGGATTTCCTGCTTGCCATTAAATTACAGGAGCAGTTCGATAATGAGTACGAGACGTCATTAACCTCATCAAATAGATTCGAGGATAATTACTTGGAACAAAGCAGTAAGAGACGGAAAGTGGAAGCAGCCGGAGGTGGCAGCGCTGCTGTCCCCTCCTGGAAGCCGGGTCACGAGCCTGAGAAACCCCTGAGCATCGTGGATGAGTCCTGGGAGATGCTGGACCCAAACCCAGATGTGAGGGCCATGTTTCTGGAGTTTAATAGCCTGTTCTTCTGGGGGAAACTGAGCGGAGTCGAGGTGAAGTGGAGCCCCAGAATGACACTGTAAGTTTTGTTTGTTCACCAGATTTCCTACAGCAGGGATGTTTATAAACCCTGTTGGCTTTACTGGGATTCAAATATGGTAGCCACAAAGCGCGAGATGCTTGGAAAAACATCATTATTGAAGAAAAATAAGGTAAAAGATTAAACAAATGGGTACCACTAAATATCTGACACAAAGTATGTCAAACATAATTTCTAAAAAAGCAAAAAATGTCCAGTTTCATGAAGCTCTATTATGGTTTCCTTGTGCTTCTATGCAATGTTAAGGCCTTCTCTGTTGTATAAAATGTGTCCTGTTTCTTGTTTTGATGTCCTCCACTCCAGCGCTGTGTTACAGGAATAACAGAGTTTTGAGAAAATGCCTCCTGTGTGTTTCCGTACCTAGGTGTGCTGGTGTGTGTTCTTACGAAGGCCGAGGCGGACTCTGTTCCATCCGGCTCAGTGAGCCTCTTTTGAAGCTGAGACCCAGAAAAGACCTGGTGGAGGTGGGATGGGTCAATTTACATTAGTGGATCTTAAAGACAGAAAATCCTCATCCAGATTATTGCTAATAATTTGTTAATTTGATTGTTTCCACAGACTCTCCTTCATGAAATGATTCATGCACTGCTGTTTGTGACCCAGAACAACCGAGACCGAGAAGGCCACGGTCCTGAGTTCTGCAAACACATGAACAGGATCAACAAGGCCAGTGGGACGAAAATCACAGTAAGTGTTTCTCCTTCAGCTCTGTGTGGTTTTGGTTGACTTTACGATAACAATCTCCTCTTGTCCCTCGGTCAGATCTACCACAGCTTCCATGATGAGGTCGATGTCTACAGGCAGCACTGGTGGAGGTGCAATGGGCCCTGCCAGAGCCGGAGGCCTTTCTTTGGTTATGTGAAGAGGGCTATCAACCGAGCTCCATCTTCTCTGGACCCTTGGTGGGAGGATCATCAAAGGATGTGTGGCGGGACGTACACCAAGATCAAAGAGCCAGAAGGATACAGGAAAAAAGGCAAAAAAGATGGGAAGAAGGATGCAAACACCTCAGAGAAGACTTTACGTACTGGCAAGCCTTTAAATACAAGTAAAGGTGAAGTTTTTCTATTTTTTTAAGTAGTTTATTCAGGATTTGCCATCAGGACCAAATACAAAAACATTTCTTTCTTTCTTTCTGCTCAGGTTCTGGATCTCAAGATATAAGGAACATCATCCCATTCAGTGGGAAAGGTTTCCTCTTAGGAGCGACGTGCCAGACCTCCACATCTCCCTCAGCACCTCCGTCCAGCGTCGCCTCCTCTCCTAAGAAGTCTTCCGTTCCTGACCAAACCAAAACCGTCTCCAGTGGAGCAGCTGCCTCCTCAGGGGGAAAGCCACCTGCAAAGACGTCTGTCGGGAACACAAAAGCTTTTGTAAACATTAACGGCTCACCTGTTAAAATTCCTAAATCTAGGAGCAGCTCTGGGGGTCACGGGGCCGACGCGTTCAAGCAGAGGTCCATTCACGATCTCTTCAACGTCAAAACTCACAGAAAGTCAACAAGCCATCCCTCAGGCTCAGAGACTAAAAGAGCGGCAATGTCTCCAAATTCTTCCTCTATCGGTAAATCTGTCAGTGTCGACACACCTGGGGCAGCGAGTCGAGGTCAGGCGCCGAGGGAGAGGCTGTGGGGTGACTGCAGCAGCTCGGCCACCATTTTTGATTTTGTTGACAAGACATTAAGCAGCAGTTCAGCATCATCAAGGGAGCAGGAAAAGACCAAATCAGCTGTTACTGCAGCTTCCAGCTCCTCCACATCACTTCAACCCCCTGGAGGGCTGCACACGCCCTCCTCCTCCTCCGCCGCCGCCAACGTGCTGATGGTCAGCTGTCCCGTGTGCCAAACTAAAGTCCAGGAGTCAAAGATAAATGAGCATCTTGATTCCTGCCTGTTCTGAAGGACTTTTAAACTAAATGGTTTTACGAACCAAAGTTTTAGATGTCTGTTTTGTGCTTTAATCTCTAGTTTAACAGATATTTTGTCACTTGACAGTAATATTGAGGTATTTTCTAACTCAAGTGGCTCTCTGACAGCTTGTGCCTCAACTGCATTTACAGAACAGCAGGGTTTTGTTAAAATGTTTTTAAAGCTGGTTTCTACTTGAATAAATAAGTTTATAATGTAGTCAGACCCTCTTTGTCTGAGGTGTAGGAGGTTTGCAGAGGGAGTAGAGTTCTTCTGAAGGTCACTGGGTTTATTTTGGGTTCTGATGTCTGATGCTTCCTCCAGAGGACAGATCTCTGCTGCTAACATTTCACTTCCGTTTGCTTTTTGCTTTGTACACCTTCACTTGGACTCAGCTGCAGAGTTATTGATCACACACAGATCTCATCAGTGATGTGAGACCTGGAACAGAAAGATGTAGAGTGATCGTTTTTGTTCGTTTATTTGTATGCTGAGATTTTAATAACTAAATAAAACCATTTTATTGCTCATTTTACCTGAATATTCTGTTCCAATTTCATTTAGGTTTAGTTTTTTGATGGGTTTTTAATATCCAGGCCTTTACCCGTGTGACCACAGTGAGGCTTAAGTACAGCCGATCCCATTCACTGGTGGGTGAGGTCAGAGGTCAGACTGCACGAGGCCCAGCTGTTGATTTGGACCACGCCCTTCAGACTCCACTGAAAAGACGAGCTGAACCAGGAGCAAGAGGAATGGTGCGACGGCACAGATGGCTCTGCTGTCAACTGTGGATGCTCTGGATCAACGAGTCAAAGAAGAAAACACCTGAAAACAGTTTTTTTAATTTGAAATCAGAAAGCTTGAAAAGGTTTTATTACATTTTTTCTAGAATGATCACCAGACTAACACGAGAGCAAAGCCACTGGCCTTTGGATGGAAATCCTGATGCCTCATTGGCCAGATTTCCTCCCATGCAGTCTTTCGGACTGATGAATTTTTCTGGTCCACTAAAGCATCACCTCCAAATATGGTCACTTGAGCTTCTAAAGATGTCCTGACACCAGACCTTATTTGGGTTTTACTGACGTTTCATCTTTTTCCTCAGATGTTATCAGCTGTAACTCGGAGCTGTTTCCTGTGCCCCCCTCCAGTCCCGTCACTGACGGCAGCTGTTTTCTCTCCTGACCGGCTGTACCACAGGAGGCTGACGCCCCACCTCCCACACCATCCTGCTTCCTGCCCATTGTCTCTCCCTGACAGACGAATCCCAGACCAGCTCCAAGTTCAATGCAGCATTTCTCCTTCAGCTGTAGCAACAAGAAAATGAAACTAAAGCCCACGTAGGGCCCATCTATGTCTACCAATAGGATCAGTAAATACGTACATTTCTACAATGCATTGCTGCATTCCTGCGCACACCAGTCCACCTGGTTACTGGAACTGTTTGGGCTTTGAGAAGCTTTTCCTTTGCAGCAGAGACTTAACGGATGTCTTTAGACCGTTATTAGGAGGATTTAACACGCTGACGCAGAGCTATTGTGCTTTTAGCCAAGCAGATTAACAAAACTCTGCTACAGATACACGCAACCCAGCGGGGTGCCATCGTACGTCTAATCCTTTGATCTCAATTGCCAGTGAGGATGATGAATATGAGGATGCGCCATCTTTAATTGGTGCACCTGTTGGCCCTCAGCAGATGGCTAATTGTTTCTGTGACGCAATCAAAGGGTTTTTCAAGGAGAAATGTGCAAATAGTAGATTAGCTGGTTTATTATGTAAGTCAGCAGCCAGCATTTGGTAATTAAATAATAACAAAACTGGATTTGAGGTCAGATCTGGACCTATAATTGGTTCTCTGTTCCTGAATATAAATGCATTAACACTGTGGAGTGGGCAAGAATCAGTATCCTCAGAAAGAACAGCTAAAATACCAAAACAAGCTAAACAAAAACTATAAAGCTAACTTATTTCATTTTTAAAAAGGCCTTTATTTTAAGAAAAAAATTATTGTACGTGCTGTTTTGCGCTCTGATTGTCAGCTGAAAAATCTGGCTAGCGAAGTTAGCTCCTTTTTTCTCCCATTAGCTAGCTAAAAAGTGAAAATTCGGTAATAAATTAAAAATTAAACTGTCATAATTGCTAATCTTTTCATAACTTTTAATCAATTCAAAAACATTTGAGCATTTGTGTAAATTATTATTAAATAATACTTTTATTTGTGTGGCTCCTGACTATTAGCATTTGCAGTAAAACATGCTAGCTAACTCCCTACTCTCTTGACATTCCCAATAAATCTAAATGCTTACTTTTATTTTAAGTTAAAAAAAGTTAATTTACATTTTAGACTTCATCATTTGTGATTGTGAATGGGTGGATGACTGATTGTGTTGTGGAGAGCCTTAAGGTGGTATAGAACACTAAGATGGGGCGACAGTAGCACAGGAGTTAGCCGTAACTGGATGGTTGCAGGTTTAAGTCCCACTTAGTCTGTCGCTGTGTCCTTGGGTAAGATGCTTAACCCACCTTGCCTGCTGGTGGCATTGGGAGGGACCGGTGGCACCAGTGTACGGCAGATTCGCCTCTGTCAGTGCGCCCCAGGGCAGCTGTGGCTACATTGTAGCTCATCACCACCAGGGTGTGAATGTGTGAATGACTGATTGTCTTTAAAGCGCCTTGGGGGCTCCAGGACTCTAGAAGATGCTGTATCATTAAAGGTGTTGATTTGGTTTATACTTTAGCATTGGCTTCACCATAACATTACACACTAGTTTCTACCCCTTAGATCATCGTCATAAATTCACATCTATTGTGGCGTCAAAGCATCCAGATGGAGTATCAGTATCCTTCATCAAAAACCAACTATATACAGTCTTTTACATGTCTACTGACCCTGGTGGATGATCTACAGGCGGTAAGAACCAATTTTATTTCTTTATTACTGTTAAATTGTTGGAGAATTGTGCAAGTTAATAAAAATGATTGCTATATTCACCAGTCGGAAATAACCAGTTCATTTAAAAAAAACTTGATTTAAATTTTTAGGTTTTAAAGGGTTTTTTAAAAGCTAACATTGTTCATGATAAGTAAACACCAAACAGAAAACTAACTTTTTCCTAAAACTTGTGTCAGTTTTTCATAATTCTTTCAGTAATTATATATATTCAGAAAATTTTGCACAATTATTTAAAAAAAACAAACTTTCCACTGAAGTAAATTTTAAACAATTAGTGTTTGATGATTGTTCCCAAAATGTTTCTCCTGTATGAAAGTGAAATTGTTATTACACACTTTGTTTTGTTTTTCAAAAACAGATTAGATTAAGTTAAAAATAAAGGTTGAGCTTCCTCCTTTAAATGTTTTGTGGTGATTAATTAATAATTAATAAAATACATGATTAGAAAGAGGAAATGAATCAAATTTAATTTTTCAGTGTGGAATTTAGAGCTTTAGGCCTCATCCATCTGTCGTGTGTGTGTGTGTGTGTGTGTGTGTGTGTGTGCGTGCGTGCGTGCGTGCGTGCGTGCGTGTGTGTGTGTGTGTGTGTGTGTGTGTGTGTGTGTGTGTGTGGTAGTTTGTTGCGATGGTGCAGCAGCCTTGGGGGTGGAAACTCAGCCCCCCAGTCCTTTTATACTCCAATCATTGTGTTTCACACACGCGCCCCTTTTCATGACCTCAGACCCTCTGGTGTCATCTGAGGAAATCCATCAATTGGTTTTATTGTAAGAACTTCAATTAAAACAAAAACAACTGATGTTCATGTCTATTGCTTGTTTTCCGTTTCCTTAGCCTTCCTAAGGAATATGGATCAGCTGATCTGCACTGTTAAATATATTGTGGTTTGTGCAAACCTTCCTGCATAGAATTAAATAATAAATACGTGATGTGAAATTAAAATTTCAGACAGAACAAATAAACCAACACCGAGAAAATCAAAGAAAACTCCAAAAGGTGCAGTTCTCGTTGGGTTTTATTTGTTTGTTTTCCTTCATTTTTGCCCTTTTTGGTGTATGTAGGGAGACGCCCATCCAGCAGCCGCCGTGTTAAATGACAGGAAGCGGATTTTACAACTCAGCCAAAATCCAATTTTTGGGCAATTTCCAATAACTATTGCATTTGTGACCAGAATTTACTTTCAAAATAAAAGCACAACATATTTTTAATGCTGCTGGGTTAGCTTGAAATAACTGAAAATTCTGTAAAATAGGTGTATGCTGTTAATGAGTAATTTGGCCAAAGATTTATGAGCAGGGCTTACATTAGCAGATATATGAGCTATTAGCCTAGTGAACTAGACAAAATTCTTGCTTTGCAAAGTTTAATACATTTATTTAGTCTGCCTTGCCAGGCTAATGAGCTATCTGAAATGTTATCAATTGTAGTTGCTTTTTGGTTTGGCTCTTATTCGTTTAATACGGTAAATACTTTCTGTTTGGCTTTTCCAGCACGGATATCAGAATATTTTTTCTTTTAGTTTTAAACCAAACCTAAAAGGCCACTATGTGCATTAAAAGTAGCTATTAAAAACAGACATTTTTAGGTGCATTTCATGAATTTATATCTTAGTCACACGAAAAGTGTGACCTCTGTGATTGTGAACATGTTAATAATAAAAAATCACTGCATCATCAATTAAATCTTAGTTTTGGAGAAAAAAAGCACTATTGTTGTAATTGCATATTAGAGCACTAATATGCTCTACTGTAATACATCAGTATACATATACATAGAACATTTTACTATGCAATAATTCAAAAGAAAAAATACATTTTCAAAAGAAAATTAAATGTCTTCAAATGTTTGTTTCAAAAACGTATGCTTTTATTTTTATGATCTCACCGGAAGTTGTACGCATTTATTTCCGCTAGCTTAACGTGGCGTCGCTGGCTGAGTCAGGCAGAAAAAGCCACGGCTGTTGCTCGGTCCGGTTAGTTTCGGGAGGCGGTTGTTTGTCGGGTTTCAGTACCTCACCGTCCGGTAACAAGCCCGTCCTCACTTTGTGACACTAAAGGCGATGAACGGTAAGTCAGCGAACGGCTCGGTGGGAGGAATGGCCTGCATCGAGGGTCTGCCGCCGCTGCCCAAGAGCCTGAGCGGGTTGCTGAACTCAAGCGGCGGCTCGTGGAGAGAAATGGAGAGAATGTACGTGAAGAAGACCATGATCCAGGACGACCTGAGCCGAGGCAGGAACAACACCGACAACCTGCTGGCCAACAAACCGGCCAACCTCGACGCTGCTCTGGCTCTTCTGCGGAAGGAGATGGTAACATTTAGGGATTATTTCTTTCATATGTGCGTTGTCCCCACCACCAGCGGTTAAATCCTGCTGCAACAGCTTTTCTAATTCCTGAATGGAGCTAGAGATAAATCTATTTCCTGTTTTTGTTGATGAGGGAGTTCTGTTGGGTGGATGTGACATGCGTATCAGTTACCAAAAGATCCCGTATCGTGTAAATAATGCATGCATGATGTATCTTAGCGATTTGTTGCGGGGTGCAAACCTGATGTAATCTAGCAGGCAAAAAGATGTTTGTGGAAAAACCTCCCCTTCCTCAGGTGCGTCGTTTATCCTGAGAAAATTTCCATGGAGCTGGTTCAGGAAGCATCAGAGAGAAAGTCAAGTGCACTGATATTTGTGATTGGATCCACGCTAAACTAAACTAAATACAAAGATCAAAACAGTCAGAGTGGATGGAGCTGCTCATTTACATCAAACCCTTCGTTCCAAACTGCTCTAAATCCCATTTCTTACCCTGCAGCTAAAGTTTGGCTGCTTTAGTGTACTAAGTAGTCTTTGTCTGTCCCATATTTTAAAGCCACTCCCTGGTTCACACAGCTCAGTGTTTCACTTGGACTTGTGTTTGCAACACTGCAAAACAAAGCTGTCAGCTGAGCGCCGTGCTGCAGAAACGTCCTTAAACCACAAAAGTGATGTCAGATGACCGGATGTTGGTTCAGCTGAGGACTGGTCCAGTTGTGACCAGAGGCTGATTTGCATTTTCTTTAATAAAAAGGTGATCATGTTATCATTTATTAGATTTAAAAAAAAAAACTGACAAGTTTAAATATTGAAGTGTTTGTGTTTTCTGGCATTTAATTGGCCAAACAGAGATTAGGAGATTTTCAGTCAAATCAAAGATGCATATTTTACTTTTACAAGTATTACACGGCTCATAGATTCTGATCGTGGTGTTCCTCCCCAGGTGGGTCTGCGTCAGCAGGACATGTCTCTGCTCTGCCAGCTGTGGTCGCTGCACGAGTCCATCCAGGAGTACAAGGGCAGCTGGCGCGACCTGAGTGCCGCCTCCAGCCTCAGCATGATGGAAAACGGCTACTTCGACGAGGACGATGAGTATTACGCCGAGCCGGGGGCCACTCCCACCGGTGAACAGCCAGACGGAGACGTTGACGATGGAACCTCAACACTGGCTGCAAGCAAGAATGGGAGCAGCAGCAGCAGTGGCAAAGATGACAGCTGGGACTCCTTCCACGTCACCATCTGAGTTCTCCGCATTTTTCCGGACTCGTATTTTGCGGTCGACTCGCTGGCAGGCGGAGAAAAGAGGCTTTTGGAAACCTGTTAGAAGGGAGTGTCTGTTTGGAGGCAGCAGCTTGTGTTTTTGTTTCTGAAGCGGACTCCAGAGGTGAAAAGGTCCAGCCTGACCTCAGCTCCTCCTCAGGTGGAACATCTGCACATCAGCTTTGTGCAGCAAAATGTTTTTTTAAGCGATCCAAAGTTTAAAACAGGAGTTTTCTCCTTCTGCAGAGAAAACAGACTGAATGTTTTTCAAAAGGACTCAGATCTTGTCTTTCTTTTTTCCCCAACAGCTCTGCTGCTTCTCCATCAAATTCTCTTTTTTACACACACAAATCTATGAAAAAATTATTTATTATATAATATAAATAACAGAATATTCTTTTTCTTATTACTCTTGTTGGAAGTTTGGTGCTGTGTTGTCACGTACAGTTGGAGGATTGACAGAAAAATGGAAGGATGGGATTTTAACTTCTATTTGCATAAATCCTGGAGGTAACCTGAAAAGATGATCAGATGGAAGCAGGAAGAAGTGAAGTCTTCACGTTTTAGAGGAAACGTTTCAGGCTGGGATTGGTTTGTCACTCAGAAACGAGTGTTTGGGTGTTTGAAAATGTGAAATGTTTAAAACGCTGTTTAGAAAACGGCAGAAAAGCCTTGCAGCTCGCTGCTTTCGGCTTCGGATTGTGATTCAGGACTGCTTTGATGTGTTAACCTGTGATTAGTTAAGGGCGTGTGACGTGCAGGAATGCCTGGATCTGGTTTACATATCTCCATTTCAAACGTATCTATAATTATGATGCATAAACAGAAAGTGAAAGCATTTTTGTTAGTTTTACAGCCTGAGTCCTGATTGTGGATTTGCTCTTATTCATCAGGTTCTTGGAGAGTCTGAATCTGAAAGATTTATAAAAATGATTGATTTGTATCAAAATGAAATGAGGTCATCTTTATATTTACTGACATAATCCAGATAAGAGCAACATTAGAAATAAGAAAAATGCTGAGATCAGGAGACGTTTGGCCTGCTAGCTGCATTTTTATGCTTCTGAACGTATCATTCGTGACTTATGACACGAATCAGATTGCCCTTTGAAACTTACTGTGGCCTTTGAAAATCTCTAAAGCTTAATGGCAGATGGACAGAAAACAGGGTTTTTGTCTCCGTGTCGTACAAACAGGGTTAAACAGCAATCATCAGGCGTTATTTCTCAGCTGGTTGGTGTAAAGTTATGCGGTTAAACACCAACACGCTAAACAAAACCAGCTCTTTTCAGACTTTTAAACATTTCCTTTGGAGGTTTGGTTTGCGTTTGGACGCATTTCTACTCAATGGGCCTTCCTACTTTAATATCAGCTGCAGGGGTTTCTGAGGACCTTGGTGAGGGTGTAGTTCTAATCGCAGCTATGCTAATTCTTATGTCTGAAGCGTTTTGTTATTGAACACAAACCAAAGACTGCACAGCTGTCGGCGTCGTGTTGGATTGAAGGTGCTGAAGCAAACCTTCAGACATCTGAACAACCATCTCCGTTTCCTCTGCAGCATCGACCTTGAACGTAGCTAAATCTGACTCTACTTTACAGCTATTGTAAAAAAATGTGTTTACACAAAACCTGACCTCGGGTGAGACGTTCAGGACTTTTAAACATTAAAAAAAAATTTTTTTTGCCTTTAATTTAGGGCTCTGAAAGTTTAGCCTCAAATCTACCATCTTATATGAAGTTGGAGCTATTTGAGTGTTTTCCTGTAATAAACAATGATTGTTTTCCCCATTGTAGATGGCTTCTTGAATGGCCTCTGTTAAGAGAAACAGCTTTTACTTCCTCCTGAACTGATGAGCTAACGACTAGTCTGAATGCAGCATTACAAAATATTACATTTTTGAAGGCCTGTCTGTGTTCAGACTAGCCATTAGCTCGTCAATCTTGAAGGGCGAAAACCATTTCTCTGAACACAGGCTGTTCAAGATGCCACCTACAGCAACTAAGATGGTGAATATAATTTTTGTACAAACTAAAATAAAATGGCCCATAAACTACTATAAAGTTGTTTCCTCTAATCTGAGTTAATTTCTCAGATCTTTGTTGCATCTGCAGGATTAGAAACAACCAGAGATTAACTGAATGTTCGTCCTACATTTATTTAGTTTAACAGGCTTAATCCCAATCTGTTGCCGAAAAACATGAATTTCTTCTTCGATTTAAAAGTCTTGAGCATTTCTGTTGGATGTCTACACAGTCGGTGCCTTTTGTGAACCTTCTGTTCCAGACGAGGCTGGAACTGTTTGTCGTTTGCTTTCTAAAGCTGCTGCATGCTGAGTCTAGATTAGATTCCCGATAATCCCTGACTCATGGTGGGTTATTGCTAAACAGTTGCTGGTCACTATGCTCCAGCTACTAAATCTACGGAAAAAGAGGATTAAAAAGTTGGATTTGCATGAAAGTTTTCTGCGATGAAGAGTTTGGGGTTTGTGCGTTTGTGTTCTGGACGAGGCAGCGGGAGTTTATGTTCCTGTCTTGTTTTCTGAACCCTGCAGGGTTTGATTCGTCAAGATGAGGTTTAATCTTCTGCACGTGGCAGCTTTAATAGCCTTAAACAGTCGTGTCATCAGCTTCGGATTTGTTTAGATTTGCACTTCTTTGTGTGAAAACCCCCCAAAAGCACGGTCTCTAAAACACCTGTGTAACTGAATCCAGCACAAAAAGGAGCTTTAACACAAATGCCAGCTAGTTGTACCCTTGAGTGTTTTCTACTTAAGCTCCCCCCTTTTTTCACAGTTGGAGGTGTGATCTCAGGGCAAATGTGGTTTTGTGTGTAAATGTTGGAACACGGTTTTAAAGCAACTGGTGATGTATGTTTGCTGTAAATAATGTCCCACCCATAAAGAATTAATTATCTTTATTTGAATGTTACGGTGTTTCAAAGAGCAGAGCCTCGCGTTCACCAGTTTTAAACAGCTTCTTGTCAAAGGAGAAGACTCCATAGACCAGAATGCAATGCAGCATCTAAAGCGTGAAGCATCGCTGCAATCACAGTCACACCCATGCTGTGGTTGTTGAAATGATTCCAGAGTGTCTTCCACGCCTCAGTAATCCTGAAAAAAAAGCTTATGAGCTGAGAAAAAAAGAGGAAAACTCGGTGAGATGTAGCCTGTTTTATATAAGTTATCATTAAAATAACAGTCTACTAAAGGGTAAATCCCTAATTTACAAAAACATTAAAAACAATGTTTTCATTGTATATCACTCATAAACAGTCATTAAATAATGTAAACAAATTGTTTTTGGTGCTAGATAAATGATATTCAGAGAAAATGACGATTGTATTTGTTCTTGTATCCATGGATGACCACAAAACTGTTGGTTTGGACTCTGTTCTCAATGCTTTCCTGTTATATTTACCCTAATAAAAGTCACTAAGTACTTTGGAAGTTATGTCTTGTGTCATGGATGTTGGAGGGTGGTTGTGCATTTGTAAACAGATGAGGTTAAAGGTCTCGTTCACTGAGAAACTGATTGAATATGGAAAATTTCAGCAGATCCCATTGCTTGCATTAACCTCCGAAAGGAAATAGGCAGATTAGAAAAAGCCATTATCTTCTACATCACAGGGAAAATTTGCATTTTTGGCTCCGCCCACCCCGTAGTATGACCGTGGAAGGCTGGATTGATTTAGCATCCAGGAGAGAGTGCAGCTAGTAAAAGCTAACCTTTAGGTTAGTTAGGGTCACCCTAACCCAATTTCAGTCAGGTGTGCAGGAGCAAAGAAATGGCTAACACGTGCTGCCCCTGAGGACCGGAGTTGGTGACCTCTGCTTTAGAATTTTGAGTGACATCATCTACAGGTAGGTTTGTTCCTGTGGACAATAACTGGTAAAGCATCACTTACATATGACCAAAACATTCCTTTAATATGCATGGACCCACTGGCCATTTGAGTAGGGTTAAGACATGCTTTATTGTCCAGTGGTTCACACATACGCTAAAACTGCGTACTGCTTCCACCCATCCACCGATTATCGTCTTACCCCTTATCCGGAGTCGGGTCGCGGAGGCAGCAGCCTAGGCAGAGAGGCCCAGACACTTGGGCCAGCTCTTCCAGGGGCATCCTAAGGTGTTCCCTGGCCCACCGAGAGACAAAGTCTATCGTGTCCTGGGTCTTTCTTTAGGTCTTCTCCTGGTTGGATGTGCCTGGAAAACCTCACCAGAAAGAGCATCCAGGAGGCATCCTACATGCTCGAGCCACCTCAACTGGCTCCTCGATGTGGAGGAGCAGCAGGTCTACTCCAAGCCCCTCCCGAATGACCGAGCTTCTCACCCTGTCTCTAAGGGAGACCCCGGCCCCTACTGCAGGGAAAACTCATTTTCAGCTGTTTGTATGAGCGATCTCATTCTTTTGATCACTACCCAAAGCTCGTGACCATAGGTGAGGGTAGGAACGTAGATCGACGCGTACAACGCCCGCATCACTGCAAACGCAGCACCAATCCACCGGTCAGTCTCACTCTCCATCTTTCCCTCACTCGTGAACAACACCCAGAGATACTTGAATTCCTCCACTTGAGGCAGGACCTCATCCCTGACCCGGAGAAGGCATTCTACCCTTTTCCAAATCAGAACCATAGTCTCGGATTTAGAGGAGCTGATTCTCATCCAAGCCGCTTCACACTATAGGCTGGGAACCGCTCCAACGAAAGCTGGAGATCACGTTCTGATGAAGCCAACAGGACCACATCACATGCAAAAAGCAGAAGCTTGATCCATATGTCACTAAAACAGATCCCCTCTACACCTTGGCTGCTCCTAGAAATCCTGTCCATTACTGCCTATGGGTACTAATTCACTTTTCTAGCTGCCATCTTTGTTGAATCCTGATTAAAAGCTTCACCGGTTCATCAAAATGCTTTGAAATGAACGCCACCACCAACAAACCTACATGCTCATTGCACCGTTGACCAGGTGCCATAACCATGTGTTGATTATCATCACTCAGCATTTTGGCTCTCTGTAGTTTAATAAGAAGCTCGAAACAAAGTGAGCCTCAGAGGTGGATGATTATGGTTACTTTTTCCAGTAAAAGTGGATCTGATGCTGGTGCAGCAGCAGATCTAACGTTAAGCATCAATCTGGGATGCAAAACATTTCAGGCTGAGAACGAATTAAACGTCAGGGAGTCATCAAAGTCTTTAAATGTTTAAAACTACATTTTGTTCTAAAATGGAAGAAAAAAAGACGTCGCCTCAGATTTAATCCATCTCCAGAGTCGTCAGGTGTCATGTGGGATTGGGAATCATGCATTCTGTTTTCTATTTGATGCAACAAACCAAATAAAACTCTAAAGAGGATATAATTGTGATAAAGATGGACTCTGAATGTTAACCAGTCTGAACTGAAGAAGGCGAGCTGCAGCTCCTCTCTGCTGCTGCCCTACTTCTTCCTGGACGCATCTGACTTGCATTTTAATGCTCCAATCTGCATCTTGGTCTGGAGTAGCTGCCATGCCTGTGCGGCTTTATTCTAATTGATCATTACTGCAGCAGGATGCTTTGATGTAGTTGCTTCTGGTGCTAGGAGGCTCAGATGAAATGCAGATGACAGTAGCTGTTTATATTTTCATTCTCAGAGATGTTTAAATCCTCCAAAACCTCCCAGAGACACTAAATGAATCCTTTCAGCTCTATCCGGTGTGGTCATATACTGTTTGGTTTGGTGACTTTGTCCAGGATGTAGCGATGAATATATGTGATAAATATATGTAAAATCAATGCAGTGCGTTCCGTTTCATTTGGTGCGCTTTACCGCTTCACGTGTTTTCTCTCTGTGCTTTGGTCTCGTGCTGTCTGTTGGGGGATTAGAGCAGATTAACATAATCTTGACTGAGAGAGTAAATCCAAGGTGCACATCACTCTCTCCAGAGCTGGAGCGGGTGGATATTTAGAAATTCACTTCACATCCCAGGCCTGAAATGCAGGAAATCATTTAAATGAAAAACAAAGGATCAATCAATGAATTAAAGAAGGATAGTTTGACAGAGGACAATCGTAAATGTTGAGTTATTATGTAACCATCTGTGTAAGACAATCTGGACTGAACCTCTCCCCACAGAGTCTCTGACGTAGATCCACCCGGGGAGAGAAGAAAACATTCCACATGAATGTGTTATCACCTCAGCTATTCACACACAAAAACAAACAGCAAAGACGGCAAACACGTGGGACGATTGCAGTTTGTTAAAGGGACAAATACCTAAGCACTGGTGCACGCCTTACTGCGTTGTTCATCCTTTTTAACGCAAAAACTATCATGGAAATCCTACACAAAGGGGGGGGGGGGGGGGGGGGTTCAATGGGAACGTGTGCGTTATCACTTTTGCTAGTGATGTGTTGCACAATGTAGACAAAATCGTCAAAGAACCACGAGGCATTTCCCCGTAGATGACAGTAGAAATTTGGCAAAACAGGTGAGAAAGCCCCACCCCCTTTTAGAGCTCATTTAAACGTCACAATAAAAATATCCTTCAAATTTTAAAGCTGAGGTACATAGTTTAACATTTTTACTTAAAAAATGCTTACATTTGACAATCTGACCATTCTAAAGTAAAGTAGGGAACCTCTCATAATTTAGATTTCCTCTAAGGACCTACTCCGGCCTCTGAAGCAAAACATAATTTACACGAGCCTAGAGCGTTGACCAATAGGCAGCCTAAGTTGCCGCCCCTTCTGGTTGGCTCATGGGAGCCCTGACCAAAAGACATGAATGTGAGTCAATGGGGCAATGCCCTGCCTTAAAGTAACAGCAGCTTTAAGCTAGAGCTTTAACATCAGCGATTGTTTAGTTAGAAGCTGACGCCACTCTGCTGACCAAAAAAACCACGCTTGATAGTTTTGTGGAGCAGGTAGGTGTCCTATAGGGAGAGCTCTTCACCTGCTTTACGACCATTAGCTGTAATGCTAGCAGTTAGCATTTTCAGTTTGCCGATCGTCAACAAAAAGCGCAAGAAGAAGAAAAAGAAGTTTGCCTTTTCTGTTAGTATTATGGCGGAGGCTGGAAGTAAAAGTAAGACAGTGATGTAAATGGAGGTGAAGCGAGAAGCTAAAGCCAGAGTGAACATCAGCGTGGCCTACACTAGTTTGAGGGAGCTAAAGGAGGCCACAAAATCATGGACTGATGATGACCTGGCTTTGTTGCTACTGTTCTTGTAAGACAATATTTTTCCAACAATGTTGATGTTTTTATTTCATGGTTGATTTTTGTATTAGTTAGCTCACTGTTAGCGCTAGCTACAGCAGGGTTGTTTACAATTGTAATTCCACTTTGAACCAGTAGGGCAGAGGAGCAAGAAACATCCCTCTTAGGTGTGTTCTTGCTGTGTATTAGTTCCAATTTAAACGGAGATAAACGGAGAAGGAAGTGACGCACCACCATCAGCGTCAGCCTGAGGAAGCCTGCAGCCACTGGCGAAACGTAGCGACAAAACAGGTAACGAAACCGGTTCTGTGAATTAGGAAACATCCGTTTTTTTAATCAGCAGTTGCCATAGTGACCTTAAATTAATTCCATGCAGTTACCATGGTGGCCCTAATGAGCCACTGGCAGCAGCATTAACATTTCTTACAACGCTCTAGCATCTAAGCATAGATATTTTGTCTGTGCTTATACGATTATAAAGTTGAAGTTGTAATTTTTGGGCAGCCACTGAGATTTGTTTGAGTCACTCAGACGTGTGTTTTTCCTCATTCATTCACAGAAGTGAACTTTTCTCTAAAAACCCAACAGATCTGCAGAAGCAGACGTTGAATTGCCTGCATTTGGATGTGAGAGAAAAAACTAGCCTGGCAATGAAAACAAACAAGAATTTCAGTCAGACCAATTAAACAAAGAGCTGTTTTATTAACATTGACCGAATCAGCCGAGCAAGCGGAACAATCTCTATGAACCAGCCGTGGATCCAAGAGTGGCTGGATTAGAAAGTGAAGTGGAAATTCAAAACTATCAGTTTTTATTGTCAAATTAGATTTAAGTAGTAAACAGTCTCCATTAGCTGCATTAGTATAATGCTGCTGTGATCCCAGTAAAACATAAAACCATTAGAGTGAACATTCCCAAAAGTCTCCTGATGTTTACATACATAACATGAGTCAGTCTAGGTATGGATCTCACTGCTAATCTAAAGAATGTGCAGGGAGCTGCCTGGTTCCTGCCCAGACAGAGAAGCGGTTATTGTCAAAGTACAACCTCAGGGTCTGTCACTGTCATTCCTGGAGAGTGGATCAGGAACTGGAGCATGTTAAACAGCAACCTGGATCAAAGAGATCCTAAAAATGTTCTGAGAATCCTCAGAGCTTGGCCTCCTAAGTTTATCAAAACATTCCTTTAAAATGTTCATCCCTATTTATTTTCAAATTAAAAGCACAAAAGTGTAGAAACTCTACGTGCAGATTAGCTTCTTTGACAGAATCAGTAGATATTTCAGTCTAAATGTGTCGATCGTTAAAACATCCACGTGTCCTGGAAGCTCCATGGAAGTCTCTTACAGGCTTGAGCCGTCACACTTTCTGACAGCAGGCCTAAACAGACAGCCACCAGCGACAGGCGCCGACTGCAGTTCAGGATCACTGAAAGAGATAAAATGTTAGAAAATTATGATAAAAATGGCGGCTAGAAGAAACAAAGCAGATTACAACCCCTGGGAAGGTTTACAATTCCAACAATCAGCAAGTTTTTTATGTAAAATTGTACATAACTATGAGAAAAATAGCTAAAATATTAAATGCAACCCTCTAATGTACATGCAACTTCCCGTAACTTGTTTTATAATTTCCCCATAAAAAACAACATTAGAAACTTATCATTTGTGCAGAAATAGATAAAGAATTTAAGTGTTTGACTTCAGAGTTTTTGTTCTTGTTGAAAAGCAAAATTAGATTAAAGAGCAAGTCACCCCCTACAAGAAACTACTCTACTCCCACTTCATGTTTGAAAAATGCATCAAATGCATTCCTCCTTGAACCGTCACCTTATCGTGGTGGAGGAGTTTGAGTGCCCTAATGGAGCTATGTTGTCTGGGGCACTTAGTGCCCCTGGTAGGGTCTCCCATGACAAATTGGTCTTAGGTGAAGGGTGAGACAAAGAACGGTACGAAGGATCTTTCATGGCGGTTAAAACGAAGAGTCGGAGTACCCGGCCCGGAGGGTTACCGGGGTCCCACCCTGGAGCCAGGCCTGGGGTTGGGGCCCGTGAGCGAGCGCCTGGTGGCCGGGCTTTCGCCCATGGGGCCCGGCCGGGCCCAGCCCGAACCGGATACATGGGCTCGTCCAACTGTGGACCCACCACCCGCAGGAGGAACATGAAGGGTCCGGTGCAATGCGAATCGGGTGGCAGACCAAGGCGGGAGCCTTGGCGGTCCAATCCCCGGACAAGAAAACTAGTTTTTGGGACATGGAACGTCACCTCGCTGGCGGGGAAGGAGCCGGAGCTTGTGGCAGAGGTTGAGCGGTACCGGCTAGATATAGTCGGACTCACCTCGACACATTGCATTGGCTCTGGAACCCGAGACCTGGAGAGGGGTTGGACACTCTACTTTGCTGGAGTTGCTCCGGGTGAGAGGCGGAGGGCTGGGGTTGGCTTTTTGTTAGCCCCGAGACTCTCTGCCTGTGTGTTGGGGTTTACCCCGGGGGACAAGAGGGTAGCTTCCTTGCGCCTTCGGGGCAGGGAACGGGTCCTGACTGTTGTTTGTGCTTATGGGCCAAATATCAGTTCAGAGTACCCACCCTTTTTGGAGTCCCTGGGACGAGTGCTAGATAGTGCTCCATCAGGGGACTACATTGTCCTGCTGGGGGACTTCAATGCTCACGTGGGCAATGACAGCTTGACCTGGAGGGGTGTGATTGGGAGGAACGGCCCACCTAATCTGAACTCGAGCGGTGTTTTGTTATTGGACTTCTGTGCAAGCCGCAGTTTGGCCATAACGAACACCATGTTCGAACATAAGGATGCCCACCGGTACACTTGGTACCAGGGCAGCCTAGGTCACAGGTCGATGATAGATTTTGTAGTCGTATCATCTGACCTGCGGCCGTATGTTTTGGACACCCGAGTGAAGAGAGGGGCGGAGCTGTCAACTGATCACCACCTGGTGGTGAGTTGGATCAGATGGCAAGGGAACATGCCGCGTAGACCTGGCAGACCCAAACGCATAGTGAGGGTCTGCTGGGAACGCCTGGCAGAAGAACCTGTCAAGACGGTCTTCAACTCCCACCTCCGGCAGAGCTTTGACCACGTCCCGAGAGCAGTGGGGGACATTGAGTCCGAGTGGGCCTTGTTCCACTCTGCGATTGTCGAGGCGGCTGTTGCTAGCTGTGGTCGTAAGGTGGCCGGTGCCAGTCGTGGTGGCAACCCCCGTACCCGCTGGTGGACACCAGAGGTTCGGGGAGCCGTCAGGCTGAAGAAGGAGGCCTACAGGGCGTGGCTGGTCTGTGGGTCTCCGGAGGCAGCAGACAGGTACCGGATAGCCAAGCGGGGTGCAGCAGTGGCAGTTGCCGAGGCAAAATCTCGGGCGTGGGAGGAGTTTGGTGAGGCCTTGGAGAAAGACTATCGATCGGCTCCGAAGAGGTTCTGGCAAACTGTCCGGCGCCTCAGGAGAGGAAGGCAGCAACTCGCTCACACTGTTTACAGTGGGGATGGGGAGCTGCTGACGTCAACTGAGGCTATAGTCGGACGGTGGAAGGAATACTTTGAGGAGCTCCTCAATCCCACCAATGCGCATTCCGAGGAGGAACCAGAGCTGGGAGGCCTGGGGATGGACTGTCCGATCTCGGGGGCAGAAGTTGCTGAGGTAGTCAAACAACTACACAGCGGCGGAGCCCCGGGGGCGGATGAGGTGCGTCCTGGGTATCTCAAGGCTATGGATGTTGTAGGGCTGTCATGGTTGACACGTCTCTACAACATTGCGTGGTCATCGGGGGCAGTTCCTAGGGAGTGGCAGACCGGGGTGGTGGTCCCCGTCTTTAAGAAGGGTGACCTGAGGGTGTGTTCCAACTATAGGGGGATCACACTCCTCAGCCTCCCTGGAAAGGTCTACTCCAAGGTACTGGAGAGGAGGGTCCGATCGATAGTTGAATCTCAGATAGAGGAGGAGCAATGTGGTTTTCGTCCTGGCCGTGGAACTGTGGACCAGCTCTATACCCTTGCAAGGGTGATGGAGGTGGCATGGGAGTTTGCCCAACCAATCCACATGTGCTTTGTGGATTTGGAGAAGGCTTATGACCGTGTCCCTGGGGGCACCCTGTGGGGGACGCTCCAGGAGTATGGGGTGGGTGGCTTTCTGTTAAGGGCCATTCAGTCCCTTTACCAGAGGAGAGTGAGTTTGGTCCGCATAGCCGGTAGTAAGTCGGACCTGTTCCCAGTGAGGGTTGGACTCCGCCAGGGCTGCCCTTTGTCACCGGTTCTGTTCATCACTTTTATGGACAGAATTTCTAGACGCAGCCGTGGTGTGGAGTGTGTCGAGTTTGGTGGCAGGAGAATCTCGTCTCTGCTTTTTGCGGATGATGTGGTCCTCCTAGCTTCATCCAGCTCTGACCTTCAGCTCTTGCTGGGTAGGTTCGCGGCCGAATGTGAAGCGGCTGGGATGAGGATCAGCACCTCCAAATCTGAGACCATGGTTCTCGACCGGAAAAGGGTGGCTTGCCACCTCCGGGTCGGGGGAGAGGTCCTACCTCAAGTGGAGGAGTTTAAGTATCTCGGGGTATTGTTCACGAGTGAGGGTAGGAGGGATCGGGAGATCGACAGGCGGATTGGTTCGGCGTCTGCAGTGATGCGGACGCTGAGCCGATCTGTCGTGGGGAAGAGGGAGATGAGCCAGAAAGCCAGGCTCTCGATTTACCGGTCGATCTACGTCCCAATCCTCACCTATGGTCATGAGCTTTGGGTAATGACCGAAAGAACGAGATCGCGGATACAAGCGGCCGAAATGAGTTTCCTCCGTAGGGTGGCCGGGCTCAGCCTTAGAGATAGGGTGAGGAGCTCGGACATTCGGGAGGGACTCGGAGTAGAACCGCTGCTCCTCCGGATCGAAAGGAGCCAGTTGAGGTGGTTTGGGCATCTGGTCAGGATGCCTCCTGGACGCCTCCCCGGGGAGGTGTTTCGGGCATGTCCTGCCGGCAGAAGGCCCCCGGGTCGACCCAGGACACGTTGGAGAGGTTACATCTCCAATCTGGTCCGGGAACGCCTTGGGGTCCTGCCGGAGGTGCTGGTGGACAAGGCCGGGGAGAGGACGGCCTGGAGCTCCCTAGTTGGGATGCTGCCCCCGCGACCCGGACCCGGATAAGCGGAGGAAGACGACGACGACGACGATCAAATGCTGTTGTCTGGCAGATCGAGAGGGCGGAGATGCTAACAAATATATTGTGACATCATAATGTACCAGCTAACGTCATGGTGTACCTCTTAAGCCTGGTTTATGCTCCTCCGTCAGCTCCGCAAGGGACAGACACACACGGATTGACGGAAGCGTTTTGCTCTCATACTTCTCCGTCTCCTGGAGAGTGTTGCAAAGCAACTGCCCGGCAGGACCACAGAGGGCGTAGCGCTGTTCTGTGGTATCCTGTCATGTATCGGTCCAAGATCGTGTGTTTATATTGTGTTTTTTTGTATATAAGAGACTTTTAACACGGACATATTTGTCTCTCATTCTCCCATCTCTTCATGCGCTCCCCACCTCTAAACCCACGTTTCCTGTCATTTCCGTCCACAAATAAAACGCTTGCTGCACATCTTTTCACTCCTCCAGTCACGGGAGAATTAAACGTTCATATTTTTAGAGTTTTTTCGCAAGGTATTCTTCAAGCTTCTCCGTGTCTGCCGCTAGTTAAACTCGGCTCTCTTTGCAATGGCGGCGCTGTTAACAACAGCGGCGTCCTGACCAATCACAAGCTTGCGTAATCCGTTTCGTTCGACGGATGTTTAAAAAAGTGGGCTCGACTCCGTACGTACTTGCATGCCTGCCGGATCCCTATGCAAGGACGGACAATGGCGTTGCGTGTGCTCCGCACTGACGCAGACGGAGAAGCATAAATCAGGCTTTAGCCAATAACGGCGGCAGATTTAAATTCAAATGTAGTGCAGAGTTTTTACCCGACGACGGCACAACACTGACAGTTTCAGGCAGAACATTGAAATTTTAACTAAGATGCACTAAAGTGCCAAATTATTGACTACAGATGTCTGCAGCACGATTAGACACTCATTTATATAGTTTATCAGCAACAAAAGGTTGATTAGGGGGTGACTTGCTCTTTAAGTTGCCACCTGCTGCCGCCTTTAAAAACCCAAAAGCGTGTCTGAAATGTCTCCATTTTCAAGAAGTTTCTTAAGTTATGAACTTTTGCATTTTTAAATATCTGCTCATCACAAAACTCTGTGAAACATTAAAAAGTTTAAAGTCCCAACCCTTGAATGTTCTTTATTTTTTAAATGCAGGATCAAATATGGTTAGTTGGAACAAGCATGCAGCTGACAGCTCTGACCTCTAACTGCCTGTGAGTTTGACGTGAGCACAAACAGTTTGATGAGGCTCAGACAGAGCAGAGAGTAGTCGTGCTCCCAGATGACGACGGGGATCAGGAGAACTTTTCCGTAGCAGGACAGCAGCAGAGCTCTGAGGAGCAGGCTGGCCTCTACCGTCCCACCCTGCAGACGAGCGACCCACACCCAAAGGAACAGGAGCACGCCGCCGCAGAACGCAGAAAGCTCTGACGGTTAAATGAAAAGAGGAGATCAGAATGTAGAATATTTACATCACATCATGTCATCACTTTGCAGGTAAATGCAGTTTTCCTACCAAGAGCGGCCAGTCCAAACATGCCGTAAAACTCCCACTCCTTGGTGTATCGGATCAAATCGGCAGGATCGCTGCTCTGCTCAGAGCTGTGGAGCTCAGACCACCTGAGGTAGGCCTCACACAGCAAGCAGAACACACACAACTTCCAGTGGATCTGTGACCATCCAGGATAACGCACACACACACACACACACACACACACACACACACAATTTCTATTATAAAGTAGATCACAAAAAATATGAAAATTGCTCGTTATTGGGAAAATTTACAAAAGGACAACATTTGAAACGATGGCACGTTTAAAACTAACAGATGATTTATGTCTGACTGCACTGTTAACGGTAATTTGACTGAACTGGTCTGGAGTGAATTATTATTGACTGAACTGCAGCCATTAAGGGGTATTTCTTGTGAAATCTGTCCCAGGAGCCCTGATACAATCCACTCTAACCCCCTAAATCAGCCTTGCTCTGAAAAGAGCTGTTTGCCCCTCCCACTTGGCCAGGACATGAATAAGCTAATGAGCTGCTTGCTGATTGGTTGGGTTAAACCAGAAGGCCTCAGATACTGGAGACTGCAGATTGGAGCACTATCATCCGGCCGGCCGCTAAAAGGGGCGTTTTTGTTTGAAAAACGGGAACGCCCAATCCAAAATGGGAACTCCCCCTTCTTCTTATTCGCTCCTGAAATGTTACTTCCCCTCCGATATTTCAAAAGAAGATATTTTCTCAGCTCATCTATCTGTTCTCCGTCTTTTTTGATACAGTTTTGATCATCTGTGCTCACCCTGCCTTTTCATTTAGTGTTGTTGGTTTGATGTGCGCGCGCTCCACGCTGTCCGAACCTGAACCTGCGTTTAAGTCCCGCCTCCTGCTTCATCCACTGTTTGTACAAATATTAAACTTGAAACGGGAGACTGTCAGTAAGGCAGAACACAAACTTTTCTCCTCTACTTCTGTCTCACATGATAAGCGCACCCCAAACACCACAGCTAGGCAGAAAGAAGCCAGTGGCTTTTCAAAATAAAGTGAAATTTAAACGTTTCATGGTATTTAAATTCATTTCAAACTACGATTATGGTTAGTATACATGCGCAAATATAGGCTATATATTTCACACTGTACATTGTTTTACAATAGTGTAACGAGTTACAATTTGTTATGGTTGGGCTTTTATGTTGAAGGGGGAGTTCTTGGCCGGTTGGGTTGTTTAAAAAGAGGAAACATGCTAGTTTGAACGGAGATCGTTAACGTTGTTTTTCCTGGAGTAAAGGCGTGGGCTGCGGCCAACAGTAACCTGGAATAAAGATCCGAAACAGAAAGAACAAGTTGGAGTCATTACAATATCTTAAAAAAATTAACAAAACTGTATTCTATAGCTGTGGCGGCTTTTATTTTGCCATGGCAGTGCGACACAATCAATTAGTGTAGACTTTTATTTTGACAAAGTAGCAGGGAAAATAGTGTATTTTGATGCCCATTCTGATTGGTTGGTGAGAAGCTACAGTACCCCCCATTAAGGCGTTTCTGTAGCCCAAGCAGAAAGGCCCTTCGGCTGGCTGGATCCCGCTCGGTTGGAGGAGGAAGGGCTCCACAGTGTGACGTTTTTATGAGAGATTTCTCAGAAAATAAGTGTTTCTCTTGCATTTTTAAAATTTCTAATTTACATAAAAAGCCAGTCACACACAGCTTTGACTTTTTGGCATGATACTTTTGACCAGCCAAGCTGTCTTTATTCACACACAACAAGAAATTGTTGGTTTAGATTCTTAGGCCCCTTTAAATTGGCTTCAGTATGCCGATGAATAAGAAACGGTAAATATCGGCCCGATATATCAGAACAATAAATGTTACTTACATTTAAGCTTGTGTTGAACAAGATGTGCCCAAAAGCCTGTGTTTTGCACAAAATTGCGTCAATGAGAATAATCACGGGGTCATATTCGATATATTTATCCACTGGTTTATGACAGGAATCCTGAAACAGACACATGATGATCGCCTCCATGTTATCACTTCAGTTTAAACGTTCTACGTGATAATACCACTTCAAACAGAGCAGAAGTAAACAACTGCTGTGTTAAAATGATTATTCAGACAGGTTTGAAAAACGTCAAACGTAGTTTCATCCTGATCAAATATAGCAACATTAGACCACACGCTAGCTTAAAACCAAGATATAAATGGATAACCTACGCATATTGTTATCTTCAGGATCCCATTTCTGTAATCTCTATGGAGCTCTGTTGCTACTTCGTTACATTCAACACACCTAAAAGTTTTTTTCTCCATTTTTTCATCCATCTACAGCAACTAAGCAACATCTAAAAGCATGCTAGCGTTCAAAACATTTAAACCGGAAAAGAGTCGAAATCTCATCAAGATGACTTCAAAATAAAAGCCCACTTTTTAATGACAACTTCCCTAAATTCGTTCACGTCTTAAAATTGTGTTTTGTTAAGCAACTTACTATGTTTGTGTACACATAATTAATTGACTTTCGATGTTCATGAGGAAAACACCAAAATGTAAAAGCCAAAGTAGAAGTTTCAGATAGGAAAGAAAAGATTTTGTGTCGTAAAAATAAGGTCACTGGAGTGATTTAAGAACTTCTGCAGGGCATTTTGGTTCAAATTTGTTTTTTTTAATTAAAGTGCTATTAATGTGGAAATTACGTAAAATTTCGTTAAAATAACAGATGAAATTTCAAATCTAGCTAAAGTTGAATTTTATTTTGAAAGACTTTTTCGGATCTGGTAATGCTGACCTCAGACCGGAGGAGCCGGTTTGACAGCCACACTGACTGCTGGGAATTGGTGTTTATGCTCCCCATCTGATTGCGGGCTTCTCATTTGCTTACAGTAGATTTGCTCGTGAGGGAGGCGTGTTTTCCTTTTTCTTTTTTTTTTCTTTTTTTTTTTTTTTTTGGTTTACTCAGTCAAACTGCAGCAAGTTCCGCCTCTGGCGTCACACATGTAGCCGAACATGGCCCCTTCCAGCCGGGCTGTTGCTGTGGTCGCGCTCTCATTGCTTTACCTGAGCGTTGAAACCATTTCCACCGAGTACTTCTCCACTCTCACGTTGTTCAACAATGAGCTGCCTAAGCAGGGGTGCAGCTCGGTGTCCGAGTGGGAAGATTACGCTGCGGACTGCGGTAAGATCTCTTCTATTTGCGTCGCCCTGTTCGGTTCAACTGTCAGTGTCACCCGGTTAGCCTACCGCTAGCAAGCTAACAACAAACACTGACAGCTCAGAGTAGTTTACTAGCATCAGCTCTGCCCCATTACGTTTTTAATCTCGGTAGCAGAATGTAGATAAACAAACATAATTGTTTAATACAGAAAACTTTTAACGGTCAACAAAAATAACTCTAGTCATTATTTTTTAACCTTACAAGAGCTACAAAAATGCTCTTATCACTAGCAAAACAATCAGTTGATTTGGGTCTTTTTCACTTTATCCTTATTAATCCTCTTTTAACACATCCAGTTTACTCAAATGAAATGTTTTTGTTTAAGTTAGACCTACTTAAATTACTTAGATGTAAAATTATACTATAATTTCATACAGAAGGAGACAAAGGTGTTTGTTATCAGCTATCAACAAACAAAAAGGGCAAAAATAAAAGTAAAATTAAGGTTTGACAAGAATTTTTAAGATTTTTTAAAGTGCAGGATTTGAAATAAAAATACAATTATTTTATATTTAATCAGAGTTGTGTTATATGTAAATAAGTCCTATTTAATAAACGCTTCAATGAAAGATAAAGGTATAGCAATCAATGTTTTTCTTCTGGGTGGATCACGTCAACCATTGGTCTGCAAAAATGTCCGTGTTCGAGATGAGCCAGTTCTGCGCAGATTCAATCACCGGTGATCGGCGCGCAGCGCATGTCGGTTAGATTTGTGTCCGACTTGCTCTGACGTCATGCATACATAGGCAACGATAACCTCGTGAGATCAAGGCAGCTGCAGATTTTGGAGCAAGGCACTGCAGTTGCTCTCCACCGGCTGCTAAACCTAGGGGATGACGGGAAAAGCCTGGCTCTCACCTGATCTAAGATCTAATTGGTTCATATTTTGATCCAAACATTCGGTGGTAGACCATGAAATGTTAGTTGGTCATTATTCTGTAAATCATGTTACGTTGATGATGACAACAATATAAGCCATGAAGAGAAATGTGTTTTGTGTTCTTTTGTCACGTTTCCTATGAGCACACTAAAGCTACAGCCGATCGTTTGCGTGCTGGATCTGGGAGCTGCTGGATAGAATTGCTGGAATGAAATTTAAAGAGCAAGTCACCCCCAAATCTACTTTTTTTTCCTGATAAACTATATAAAGGCGTATCTTATCGTGCTGCAGACACATGTAGTCAATAGTTTTGCACTTTAGTGCATTTTTGTTAAAATTTCAATTGTCTGCCTAAAACTGTCAGTGTTGTGCCGTTGTCAGGTAAAAACTCTGCACTGCATTTGAATTTAAATCTGCCATCGCTATTGGCTAAGAGGTACCCTAGAATGTTAGCTGGTACCATATAATGTCACAATGTCGTTGTAAGCCTGTGTGTGCGTGTATTTGTTAGCGGCTCCGGCCTCTCGGTCTGCTAGTTAACAGTATTTGTTGCATTTTTCAATCAGGAAGTGGGACTTGAGTAAGAATCTGGTAGGGGGTGACTTGTGCTTTAAAGTGGAAAGGACTGCTTACAGGTGCTGGCCAGTAAATTAGAATATCATCAAAAGGTTGAAAATATTTCAGTAATTCCATTCAAAACGTGAAACTTGTACATTATATTCATGCAATGCACACAGACCAATGTATTTCCGATGTTTATTACGTTTAATTTTGATATTTATAGGTGACAACCAATGAAAACATCAAATCTGGTATCTCAGAAAATTAGAATATTCTAAAGGCCAATGAAAAAATGTTTGTTTCTCTAATGTTGGCCAACTGAAAAGAATGAACATGAAAAGAATGTGCATGTATAGCACTCAATACTTAGTCGGGGCTCCTTTTGCCTCAATAACTGCAGTAATGCGGCGTGGCATGGACTCGATCAGTCTGTGGCACTGCTCAGGTGTTATGAGAGCCCAGGTTGCTCTGATAGTCGTCTTCAGCTCCTCTGCATTGTTGGGTCTAGCGTATTGCATCCTCCGCTTCACAATACCCCATAGATTTTCTATGGGGTTAAGGTCAGGCGAGTTTGCTGGCCAATCAAGGACAGGGATACCATGGTCCTTGAACCAGGTGCTGGTGGTTTTGGCACTGTGTGCAGGTGCCAAGTCCTGTTGAAAGGTGAAGTCTGCATCCCCATAAAGTTGGTCAGCAGCAGGAAGCATGAAGTGCTCTAAAACTTCCTGGTAGACGGCTGCATTGACCCTGGACCTCAGGAAACAGAGTGGGCCAACACCGGCAGATGACATGGCACCCCACACCATCACTGACGGTGGAAACTTTACACTGGACCTCATGCAACGTGGATTCTGTGCTTCTCCGCTCTTCCTCCAGACTCTGGGTCCTTGATTTCCAAAGGAAATGCAGAACTTGCTTTCATCAGAAAACATAACTTTGGACCACTCAGCATCAGTCCAGTCCTTTTTGTCCTTGGCCCAGGCGAGACGCTTCTTGCGCTGTTTCTTGTTCAAGAGTGGCTTGACACACGGAATGCGACACCTGAATCCCATGTCTTTCATGAGTCTCCTCGTGGTGGTTCTTGAAGCGCTGACTCCAGCTGCAGTCCACTCTTTGTGGATCTCCCCCACATTTTTGAATGGGTTTGTCGTCACAATTCTCTGCAGGGTGCGGTTATCCCTAGAGCTTGAACACTTTTTTCTACCACATTTTTTCCGTCCCTTCGCCTGTCTGTTAATGTGCTTGGACACAGAGCTCTGCGAACAGCCAGCTTCTTTAGCAATCACCTTTTGTGTCTTGCCCTCCTTGTGCAAGGTGTCAATGATTGTCTTTTGGACAGCTGTTAAGTCAGAAGTCTTCCCCATGATTGTGGTGCCTTCAAAACAAGACTGAGGGACCTTTTAAAGGCCTTTGCAGGTGTTTTGAGTAAATCAGCTGATTAGAGTGGCAGCAGGTGTCTTCTATATTCAGCCTTTTCAGAATATTCTAATTTTTTGAGATACCAAATTTGGAGTTTTCATTAGTTGTCACTTATGAATATCAAATTTAAATGTAATGAACATTGGAAATACATTGGTCTGTGTGCATTGCATGAATATAATGTACAAGTTTCACGTTTTGAATGGAATTACTGAAATATTTTCAACCTTTTGATGATATTCTAATTTACTGGCCAGCACCTGTATATCAGAGATTTTTGATGCAGTCCAATATAATCTGATTCAGTGTTTTTGGGCCAATGTTGAATTACTTCCAATATCAATATGGGAATGGGACATAATGGAATGCTATGATATGAAAACCAGATGAACAGTTTCTGCAAAGCCAAGCTGCAGGGGCAAATCATGTTTCACTCAAGTCTGATGTTTTAAAGAAATGGTCAGATAAGAATACAGAAATTAACTCTTGTCTCTCCAGAGCCGTCGCTTTTGCAGTTCGAGGACCCAGACTGTGAGGAGGGAAGCAACCCCCCGTGCGAGTCAGTCTTCTCACTTAATGCAGAAAAGATCCTGGTGAGTCTCTCGCACGTTTGGTTTTATAACACGTCCTCAACTTTCCCTTTAGAATAAAAAAAAATTCCCTAGTCGAGCACAAACCACTAGTTAAGTCATAACTTTGGGTAATTACTTTACTTTTTGTGTAAAGGCTGAGGATAATCTTTGAAAGTGTTAAAATAAGAATAAATGAAAGAAAGAAAACAACAGTTTATATGGTGCCTCTCAAGATAAAAATCTCAGTGCTTCACAAGAACAACTTTTTGAAGAACAAGATAAAAAAAAGATTAAAAATGTGAATAAAATGAGATAAAAAATCATGACGTGTAGGACTCAGAATTTGAAACAAACAGAAAATAATACAACTACTTGCAAAAACAGAAAGAAATAATGAATGATGCCCCCAGATTGTTGTGACTTTCTGGGTGTGTCGGGTCATTTGCACTTGTAGTAGGGCTGAACGATTAATTACATATGCAATTAAATTGCAATGTGACAAAAGGAGATTTTCTAATCGCAAAGGCTGCGATTTGACTGGCAGCGAGTGGTTAGCACAATGCTAATATACATTGAAAAACCCCTAAGGGATGCTAATGCTAATATCGCCGAATAGATTCTTACAAATTTCGAATTAGGAACGTGCCAAATTCATAGGCGTCATTTTAACCGGGGACACCGGGGACATGTCCCCGGCAAAATTTGTGATTGGCAGCTGTCCCCCCCCCCCCCCCCCCCCCCACACACACACACACACACACACACACTTTCAAAAAAGCCTGCTGATGAGGATTTTTGTTTTACCAGCTCAGATCTTATACCAGGGGTCGGCAACCTGTTCCCATCAAAGAGCCATTATTACCCGTTTCCCACAGTAAAGAAAACACCGCAGTAGCCGCAGCGTTGTGGGCGGGACCTACCCTCAGACAGCAGAGAGCTGCTCACAACCAGGTGACAGCAGCAGGTACCGGTCGCTCGCATGGACATCGCACCCGTGGGGGATTCAACACCCACACTTTTCCAGCTGTTTTGCTCACCTCCACACCAGTCTGGTTTCTTTATGTCGCACACTCACTCTGTTTGCCTCATCTCCTTCTTCACCTCCCTCTTCTGACAGCCAATGTCGGGTTTCCAGGAGAGCAGGAGAGGGAGGGATGGAAGAGCTCGACTGAATTCATAATTTTACATCTTGACATTAGCTGTACAAAGTCTGAGTTTGATAACGTGAAGAACAACAATTTGCAGAGGTTTATAACAGGCGCGGCGCCAGGTTTTCATTTTTGGATGGGCCACGGTAATTTTGGACGGACCTTAATAAGCAGTGACTTAAGTGAAGCAGGCAGGTCGCGCTAGAAAATTTCGTTTAAAAAGACGTCATAAATGTTTCCCCCCGTCATTTTTATTTCTAAAATATGAAGTAAAAACTCCCAATTTAATTTTCATTCATTTGTCATTAATATGTAGTCTACACCCGTGCGTTAAGTGGACCATCTTCCAGTAAAAGCAAAGCATCCAGTCCATCTCTCCAAATGCGTAAAATGTGCACCACAGCCGTTAGGCGCGCCGCGCGCACCGTCAGCTACATCAGCCCAGACAAGAGCAGAGCAAATAGAATAGAGGATAATTGTGTCTGGATGTGGATGGAGATTACATTTTACAGCAGCCTGATCATCATTTAAATACGTAAACCATCACCTGTCTTCTAGTCCACGCTATCAGCATTATTTTAATTGGGGTGTGTGTGTGTGTGCGTGTGCGTGTGCGTGTGTGTGTGTGTGTGTGTTTTCCACTTCCAACACTGGTCTAACCAACCAGACCAGCATGTCCAGCAACATATTAATGTTACAATTAAATAGTTTCGCTTCATGTAGGCTAGGAACGTTTCACCTGCCGTGGCCCGACCGCTTCTGCTCCACATAAACTTTGTGCGTAATCAAATGTCTCTAGAGGTGCTTTCTGCGCTGCTATTCTGCCTCAGACTGGATGCGTCATGCGTGTCCATATTAGAGACGGGAAAAAGCGCTGTTCAGCCAAAGTTGAATAATTTCATAAAAAGAACATTTTTCCAAGCTCATCCATGCGCATCAGTGTGCATCGGGGTAATTCTTTCAAAACAGCCAGCATCCTTGAGTTTATCCATCAAAATAAACAGTCAAATGGAAATATCTGTAAGCTGCCATTTAACTGTTTTGCCTTCTTGTGAAGATTGTTGCAAAGAGAAACAACTAAACTTGATTAACCCCAGAGCCACGCGCACTGCGCTGTACGTCGTGACTGTAAATGAGGGGAAATGATTTAATCGGATCCTTTTCTTTTCAACATGGTTTAATGTAGTTTCATTCAGTACAAACTTTAGTTACACCAATCTAACTAGACAGAGCCTGGATTTGTATTCTGAACAGTTTAAACATGTTTAAAACGGAGACATGCGTGATGCGTCTAAAATTCGCACCTGCTCCGCTATTATGGAAACAAGGGTTATAACAAGGTGAATAACATCAAATTATTTTAGGCACAGACAACATCTCCCACACTTTTGAAAATCTTGCAACGCGCCTGGTCGCTCGTGTACGTCAAAGTTATCTTTCATAAGAAGATAATCAATAAAACGATTTATATAAAGTGGATCCAGAAGTAGTAGCCCGTCTCTGCCTACAATATTTTGATATTTTTCACCCTGTTGGTGGTTTTACTGAGCAGGTGCCACTTTTGTCATACGTTTCTTTTAAAAACATGTTTAGACTGTTCAGAATACAAATCCAGGCTCTCAGAACCAGAGCGCATGTGAGAAGGTTCCTCCCACTGAAGCAAGTGTTTTCCAAACCCTGTCTCTCAGAGACTTGTCACTTAGAAAATGTTCCCTGATTATGAAACTTTGGCTGAATAGTGCTTGTTCCTGTTTCCAATGTGGCGACACATCCAGGAGCTGAGGAGAATCCCAGAATCTGACATCCTCCAGCTCAGGAGGCGCATATGATTACGCACAAGCGTGACGCGTCAACCCGGTCTCACAGTAAGACCTGGTTGGAACTGTTCAGGTTTACGCAGACAATCTTTACATTTAGAATTAGAATACAGATGTAAAATTGATGCAGTAAAATATAAAGCTTTTTATTTAAATATCCATTCATTATTTTACAAGCACAGAGAGCCGCCTCAGATGGATGGAAGAGCCGCATGCGGCTACAGAGCCGCCGACCCCTGTGCTAGCCTATATTGTCCCCAGCAATTTTTAAACCCCACTCAAGTGTATGGTTATTGTCCCCAGCAATTCTGAAAACAAACTGACGCCCTTGGCCAAATTATTACATTTGGAGTCTAATAAAAAGTAAAACTGCCATTAATCAAATTGGTACAGACAGATATTTTAGTAAAACTATTAAACTGTACTTCAACTCCACTGAGTTTTGGCTAGCAGCTGTGAACGTAATTGAACTACGGAAGCTCTGCATGGACAAGACATCAAAAATAAACACAAAAGACTTCAATAAATGAGACACACTTCTTTCCTGCTAATACATTTTCACAGTTGATGCTAATACCTATTCTCCTTCAAGGGATGTGCAAAGCATTGCATCTTCAAATACAAGATGTTGTATTTACTTGTGAGTGTTCATGAATGTGTAGATACATAAACTTGTTTATATTCAGTACAAGTTACATAGATATCTTTTTTTGCCTCCATTAGTAGAAAAACGAGAAAGCAATTGCAATATTGAAGAAAAAAAATCGCCATTGGATTATTTTCCAAAATCGTTCAGCCCTAACTTGTAGCCACACCCAGCACTGATAATAGAGTGGTGTGACATGAAGTTAATACCTTTTCCACTTCTAAGGTCTCCATTTCTTCGTCGGGAAAATTGATCCCAACATTAAAACAAAAGCACGCCGAGGAGCCAACAGGACAGAGACCACATGTCCAGCCTGTTGCTCCCTGATGATCAGGGCTGGGTGGCTTTTATGCATTGAGTCCACATTCAGCTGCTGATTGTCATTGCCACCAGCTGGGACTTCAGGGTGGAGCCGGACAGATGTGGGAGAAGCCAGATGCTGCAAAACAGCTCCTCACACACACACAAGCGGGATAAAAACAGAGGAGTAAGAAATGAAATAAAACCATAAATGGCACCAGCCATAACAACGATCTGTGGTAAATTGAAGCAAAAAGCATAATGGAGCCTTAAAGTTGCTGCATCAGCAGTGGACGTTAAAAAGGGTGTTATTTAAAATCCTGAGTTATAGAAAACTGTGCTTCTCTTCGTCTGGTTTCCGCTCTAAAGTTTTCTTATCTAAAACTCAGACTTATTTCCTATTTCTGTGCCATCCTCACACAGGAAACCAGTAAAAAGTACTCGTTTGAGCTTTGTGGTGCTCTGCAGTCTCTTGATGTGTTTCTGCTTCCTGCGTCAGTATGGTGCATTTTTCTTCATCTTTCACAGAACCAGGCCAAGTTGTTTATAGAGCAGAAAAAAATCCCCTTTCCTGTAGATAACCACAACACCAACGAGGAACTTGGTGAGCTACCGCGTACCCCCTCACTTAGGAAGCTAAAATTCTTGTTTCCACCCTCCTTTGTGCTCTCTAATGGTCACTTTAATGCTCTGTCACTTGCAGCTATATGCTATGTTCTGATAGGAAACGGCCTTTACGATGAAGCTATTAAACACTTCTCACTCTTACTACAGGTACGTCTACATGTTAAGCACACGTATGACCTATTACCACTAAGGTACGTCTGTGTTTTCTGAGGATGTGAGTTTTTGATGCAGAGCGATCCAGAGTTAGTCAGTGCCATCTATGGACGAGGGATCGCTTACGGGAAGAAAAGTCTACAGGTGAGTGTCAGCCGCCCAATCCAGCACATCAAAATGTATTTGGCTGGTTGTTTTGTTTGTTTTGAAAGATGAGATAGGAAAACATTACTAATACAGTAAACACAATTAACATTATATAATTATAATTTTACCGAAACTTCACAGCATGCACAACAAAAACAACCAACATTTGTAAAATGGGAAGAGTTGAATGGAAGGAAAAGAAAAGTATTAACATTGATGCTGTGTTAAAATCATAATTTTTAAACTTCCACGGTGGTAACAGTGACTGAAATCCTGCTCACAAGGCCATTATTTATGCCGCTTTGTGGTCTCCTACAGAATGCCTTAAAAAACAGCATTTCTTCTGGTTATTAAACGCTGCTTATTACATTACACAGCCGCTCTCTTAAAGTAACACTGAGCAGCTTCCTGCTCCTCTGCCCTACTGGTTGAAAGTGGAATTACAACAGTTGTAAACAAACCTGATGTAGCTAGCGCTAATGAGCTAACACTAACATGAGCAACTAGTACCAAAATAAACCAAAAAGTAAAAGTATCCACACTGTTGGACAAAAATATTATTACTTATTAGTCCACTAGCAACAAAGCCAGGTCACCATCGGTTCGTGATTTTGTAGCCTCATTTAGCTCTCTCAAACTAGCATAGGCTACGCCGATGTTCACTCTGATTTTAGCTCCTTGTTTTACCGCCAAAGACATTACTCTCTTACTTTTACTTCCAGCCCCCAAAATGCTCCATATTTTTTATATGAGGGGCGGGGTTTTAATAAATAAATAAATACTGCAACCAGCCGCCAGGGGGAGGGGCTTCATTTGACTTCCATTTTAGCTTTTCTATCTAGCTATTTTATGTCAGTGTTTCAACACAAGTTATATTTACAAACAACTTATACAAGTACATCATTTATTTAGTTATTAGCAACAAAATTACTAAATTGATGCATTTATTAGTGAGAAATTTAGTCTGAAACTGTTCAGGAGGAAGTCTTTAGGTGTGATCTGTTATCTCAAGACTCTAGACACCATTAGTTTCTGAAGTTCCAGATGTTTCTTTACTTTATGTTCTCGGCCAGGACATAAAGAACGCGGACTTGGCACTTTACGAGCTCAACAGAGTCATCGCACTTGAGCCCAACTGGCCAGAAGTCTACGAGCAGAGAGCAGAGGTGAGGACTGAACCGTAAAACAAAGAGGAAATCAAGGCTATAGCGTAGCTTCATATTGGATAAGAACATAAAAAAACACTTTATTCTAAGAATGACACTTTTCCATTTATGTTTGATGCTTAAAAAGGTAAGTCTGAAAACCTTTAAATGAGTTTGACTGTGGGCTTCTAGAGGAGGAGAAAAACGGCTCTGGATTTTGTCACTTTTGGACTCATTATGACTTTGGAATCTTGTCTCTTGTGGGTTGCTGATGTAAATAAATGCAAAATGACAAAAACATCTGAATCCCAACAAGGGAAGAAGTAAAAGTTTTAAAATACATGTATGTAAGTATTTAGTCTGACCACGTTCCATTGATGGCTCTGTTGTTGAACCGGATCTACGGTTGTGTTTCAAACTGTCTCTGCGTGCTATTAGATCCCAAACAACATGATGTCCGCCATACTCCGTCAAAGAAGATACAATTACATCCTTTTTCTAAATAAACTTAGGTACCTCTGTCTGTTCTTGACTCAAAGAAAAACCCAAGTCAAAGTGGTTCAAAGTTGTTTCAAACAAGCCGTCTTCATATTTTTTTCTTCAGTAACATCCCATCCTCCAATAAAGAGCTGTGATTAAACTGCTATGGAGCCATCACCATCTTAGTTTTGCTCAGTCGCACTAACATTCTGCCCACCGGACTGATAGAACGCTGTGATTGGACAGCTACGGATGTCAGTCAACAGCTCAGTCTGCCATACACCATGGAAGAAGCAGGAAAGAAGATGAAAATAGAAAAATTTTCTAAATAAACACGTTCTGATTGGTAAGCCACAATAATGGCCGGGGCTGTGGAGGCTCCAGTGGAACATTGCTAAACCGCAAAGCAAAAAAAAATTTCTTCGACAAATGATGGTCCAAATCAGGGGTATCTAGCACGTTTTAGTGGTTTCTTTGCTCCGATACACTTTTTCAGTGGTTGAGTCACCTGTGCAGCAGCTCATCAGGCTCTGCAGAAGCCTGTTAATCACCTGCTGATTGAAACCAGGTGTGTTGAAGCAGAGATAAAACTAAAACGGGCTGGACACCGGCTCTCCAGGACCAGGAATAAAACCCACTGGTCTAAAATCTAGGCCAGGGGTGTCAAACTCAAACTCACACGGGGCCGAAATGAAAATCTGGGACCAAGTCGAGGGCCAAACTTAATATTTTTTGAAAAAGTGACGGCAAATTTGCACATTTTCTTTATCAACATTTATGCAATTTAGAACTTTTTAATTTGGAAACAAACTTATTTTTACATTAACACTGAATGTGGAATAACCAAATTACACACGAGCAAGTCAGTTTTAAATAAAACACATCAGTGAGATTCATTACTTGTGGTATATTCAGCATTTTTCAAATCTATTCAGGATTTATGTTTTCTTGTTGATTATTAATTTTTCTTATTTTTTATTCTCCTTTTTGTCTCCTGTAATACGTGTCATCGCTGCTGTGATGTCTAGCTTTCCCCACTGAGGAACAATAAAGGGATTTTCTATTCATCTATCTGCAGCCTTTCCACTTCCTGTTTTACTGTAGGTTAAATCTTTTCTCACGGGCCAACAACAAAATAAAAATATCATTTTATCTTAAATGAAAATGCAACATCTCACCTGTTAACTTTCATGTTTTGGAGCAGAAAAAGAGCATAAATCCAACATATTTAAAGCTCAGTTTGCTCCACTGGTTTACTGTGATGCTCACCTGTTCCAGCCAGA